AAAACAAAGTTGTCATCTTCTCGAAAACCTACTGTCCCTATTGTGCGAATGGTAAGTCAACGTTTATCTTCTCGGATCAGATGGATCGCTTTATAAAACTAATTACTGAATTCAACCTCTTCATCATCGAATACAGCTAAGAAACTCTTTTCGGAATTAGGTGTAGATTACAAAGTTTTAGAGTTGGACACAATGAAAGATGGTTCGGAATATCAAAATGTGTTGAAAGAGATGACCAATATGGGAACAGTTCCATCCGTTTGGGTCAACAGTGAATTCATTGGAGGTTTTTCTGATACTCAAGCTTTGCATAAGCAAGGAAAACTACTTCCAAAGCTCAATAAATAACAGTACTATTGTATGTGTGGTTAGTATTGGATCAGAAATTGATGTTTATTCTTTCTAGCTTCCATTTTCGATCAAATTTAGACATTAAAAAATATTAAATTCTATTCTTCTCAGCGGCGTGTTGATAGTGAGTGCCACCATCATCATCACCGTTTTCTTCACTATCATCACTGAACTCTCTTTCAAAGAACACGTTGTTATTGATAAATAGCAGTGGATTTAATCAAGCGAATAATAATATTCACAGAAAAACATCGGTCGGCTCGTCATCATCATCCGGATTCTCGAGTGAGATTGATCATCAACAACTTCCATAAGAGGTCTACATACTACTAGTATATGTGTTGTTTTGGGTGCATCAAACTAATTTCTTTAGAGAAATCATGAGTTTAAGAGAGATTATTGTTCGACTTTGCAAGAGTGAGGACCGATCCCGTACTTACAAGCCTCTCATTGACATTCTTCCATGGTGGGCTGTTTTGATTCTTTTCATCATTGCTACCATACTTTTATTATTGCTATTTTGGTAGGAGTATTTGCAGGCCCTGCAGTTTTACATTTCTCATCAATAGAAGTTGATACCAACAATCATACTGTAACAGCTCCATATTGGGGTCTAGTTTCAGACATCAAAGATATGCGTTCCGTGTTCTATGGACAAGAACAAATTTACGTTGAGACGCCAGAAAACTATACTGCCTTGAATCAGGAAATTACGTTTAATTGTTATTTGAAATCCAATGTTTCGATACAAACTGTTCAATCATCACAAAATGCTTTTGGTTTCCAGAAATTAGACCTTGCCTTCTACTTACAATTGTTTGGAAGAAATTCTTACTCTGAAGAATGGACTCGAATTGTGAATGGTACTTACACAAGATCTTTGATATGTACGGAGGGGTCAGAGAAATGTGTCGCTATTGCTCTTTTCTATGAATCACACATTAGATATACCAATTATCGAATTGGATTGTCTTTCCTCAATGCTAAGGAATTGTATGATAATGGACTTATTAATTCAGGATATATTGGTTTTGAAATGGAGAGTTATAATTACGCATATGCAAACTGGGAATTAGGTTGGAGATACTCTATGATTTGTATAACAGCTCCACTGACAGTTGCATTTATTATTGCAAATATTGTGAGAAGCTATTTTGTGAATTGGACTACTGAACAGAAATGGATTGGTCTACTACTTTGTTTTCTCACTCTTTACAATAATCCTATTTTTGCATTGATTTTCACTGGAGGCAACTGGGCATTTTCGTTTATTAATATTATATTCATTGTGAGCTTTTTGTGTTCTCATGTTTACGGTCCTGGTTTTCACACATTCACTAGTAGTGGCACAAAGGATCGATCCTTCCTGTGGTTCTACCTTCCAAAGATTGTGCTTGTTTCCATTCTGTTTGTTTTTGTCATTACGACTTTCACATATGTCAGACTTCAAGAGCAAGAAGATCCTGGATATAGTTTAAATATTGTCCAAGGCCTTACATCCTATCAAACATTGGGAATTATTGTTGTCCTGCTCATGATCCTTTACATTTTCGTTTTGGTTTATTACCTCATGAGAGTCATTGAAAAGCACAGAATGAATCTATTACCAAAACGTAATGCTTGGCGTAGTAAGGTCATTTGGTTCCTCACAACCATCATGGTCATTGGTACCATTGTTGAAATTTTCTTATACGTTTTTAGTAAGGATTGGAACAGCGCTGCTCAGTTCTTGTCATACTTTATGTTCTACAGTTTGTACGTTTGGCTCTTCACAATTTTATATTGGCCAAGTTGGGTTGCTCTTCAAGAATCTGAAATTATTGAGGAAACCACGACCTATGAAAAAGAGGATGACTACTTTGATGACATGGAATAACGTTGGTTGTGGAGAGAATGCTCTTCAACACTTTACAGTTGTTGTTCGACATTTGTAAAGCAAATTTGCCCTTTATCAAGTGGATCCGCGTTCAACATAAACTCTTTGATCTTTATCCTACAAAATGATATCTTCCAATTTTTGTTAGAGCTTCGCCCAAATGTGTTGGAAATTAATTTGTGGTTGTGTGTTCTCTTTGAGAGTTGAGGTTGATTGGGTTGTGGAATATTCCATTTCAGGTATAAGAGGGTTGCTTGGCAAAAAAAGGCTCCAAAAAATGAGTCTCCCAAGAATGGAAGATGTCGGCACGCTCATCACGGAAATTAATTCTAAAAAGCTCAAGAATGATGAAGGAGGTAGTATTCATACACGCCACTCTCGGGATACATTCAAAATTATTCAGAAATGTGTTGGGGAAAATGAAATGAGTTGGGACTTGAGTGGGACCTATCTGCACAATCTTTGTGATGATTGTAATCAATATGAAATTGAACATTTAGGACATGAGAAAGATAGTCATTTCGAAAAGATGATACTTGTTGAATTTTATGCTTCTCGTAATTATCTTGAGGGTTTTTCGAATGATGTGGTGAGAATTTTGGGAAAAACTATATTCACGGAAAGACTGCGAAAACTGAACTTGAGTTGTAATAATTTAACAAAATTTCCTCCTTTGAAAGAACTTGTAAATCTACAGGAATTATTACTGTCAAACAACAAAATTTCAGAAATTGATCCTCAATTAGAAAATTGTGTTTATTTAGAGAAATTGGACTTGAAAATGAACAGAATTGCATTCATCAAACATTTACCTCTACCAATCAATGGATCTACAAGCAACAAGCTTGTATATCTTTCCCTGAGTTGTAATCAAATCATTGATTTCAATGACAAGGAGATACAAAAGTGCAGAAAGTTGCAACATTTGGGGTTGTTTGGAAATTTAATTGAAACACCTCTAGCACAATTATTAGTTTTACTAAGCGAGAGCTGCGGAACTGTATTGCAAGAGTTATGGCTACAAGCTAATCCCATTACTCCCATTAGCTCTATCACTGCAGATGAAAACGTGCTGGGTGTCCGCAATAGGGTAGAAACAAGTAGCCGAATGACGCCTCTGACCAGAGACATGGAAATTGAACTAATCCATAACAAGTTTCCTGCCCTTTCCCATTATAATGGGATGTATTTAAAGCAGTAATACTACCAGCGTTCGATTGGACATGAAAATGATTTGAAGAAATCCGTGACATGTAGTTATGACACCACAGAAGGACAAAGAGTGACAAAAGACGAGAAGAATTATCTTATTTTTACATATTTGATTATGATGCATAACAACTTTAAAGAGCACCAAAGACACGACTAAAGAAAGTCTCAGTTTTTAATTTTATTATTTAGTGCTTGAATTTTTGAGTCTTTTAGACGTATCAGAAGTTGAAGTTTGTTGATTTTTGATTCAAGAAGCTTGACCGTCTCTTCTAGCTCATGAATTTTTGCATCTTTTTCTCGTATTAGTTCAATATCCTCAGTAGAAAATTTTCCTAACGGATTGGAATTATGGTACATGGAATCGTTGTTAGGTGTTTGAATATTGTCCTGCGTCTCCTTCATTTTGTTTGGAACTGGTTGAACAGAGCCTTTTGATTGGAAACTGCATCCATCATCTGATCATCACCGTAATCTCTTTGTGTCGCTCGTTGAGTACGAGCCGATGAGGCAGAAGCGGGTCTCCTTGTTTTCGAGTTTGATGTCGGCTGTTGAGTGTTTGTATTCTCTCCAGAATGGTTGTGAGTACCTAGTCCGTTTGAGGCCCTAGATCCTTGTTGTTGAGCCAGTTTTCGCTGTTGAATTTGTGAAACTTTGATTTGAAAATTCTTTAACATTCGTTCAGCAGCAAAGGGTTTACATTTTACCATGTCGTCAAATTCTCTAGGATCTACAATAAAACCAATTTTTTGAAAAACCTTTTCTGTTGTTTTTGGGGATTGAACATTCCAGTTCGTGGCTCAGGGTTAATCATTACTAAAAAACTTACGGTCCAAGGTTTGCCAATTATATCCTTTTTGCTTTGAACTACTAGTCGATACATAATTATGAAGATCCACCAACTTCGGAAAGAAATGCTTTACCACTTCCGCCATTAATACTCCATCGCTAAAATCTCGAGCAATATTCTTTTTTGGTCGACTCAGAGGTATTTCATCCACCCATGTATACAACATTTGTAACTCCTCTTCATCAAAAGGTGGAACAGAGCCATCAATGCCCGATCCACTTGTATTATGTACTTGATGATTTCCTCTCGACATTGAAGAGGGTGATGAGGGTGGATTTAGCAATCGTACTTGACTCATTTTTTCGCTGTAGACGCCAATCCCGCTCTTTTTTTATGAGTTTGAAAATCATAACGCCTTTAATTTAAACGAACAAATTTCGAACCAAACAAACCTCATAGTAGTAGCACTAGCACACCACCACTAGTGCCATGGCAATAACACAGATTATTGCAAAAGACAGTTATTGCTGCTTTTTCTCTTTCTTCTTGCTGTAGTGTCAGTATTTTCGGGCAAAACTTGTATTTCATCCTCCGAGGAACGATCCGAGGCTTCATCCAACACGACCACTACACTCTCCTGTTGTTTTTGAGAGGAAGCTGATGGTTGTCTATTCCATGGAATAGATCCCCACGATCGTGCGGTGGCCTTTGCATGCTTTTCCTTTCGTTTTCTCTGCTTGGTAATTTTAGAAGCTTCATGATTATTGCTCGAGACCATAGAGAGAGGATCAACATTCTTACATCTACGATAATAGTATTGAGAATAGTCATAATATGTCGAGTGAGGAGAAGTACTATCATTCGTTGTTCGATCCATCAACAAGGGTGGTCTTCGGTAATGCGTGCGATCACTCTGAGGACCATGATCTCTAACATTGGTGGATGAGTTTTGAATTTTTCATGAATGCTCGGCGTTCGAGAATGATGCTGTTGGGAAGAGGTTCCATAATAATGCTCATTGAATTGTAGATGAGCCATGATATCAGTATTGAGAATAATCTCATTCACCAATACTTGTGTACTCTTCTTGACATCTAGGCAATTCAACACGACAACATTTCTTCTCATTTCTTCTCGTCGTTCCTGAGAGGTGGCTACATGAATGAATTGTTCAATAATAAATTCACAACAAGTGTGCCACTCTTCGAGTGTGGAATCTCCAAACTTGTGTTGAATGGATGGAACTTTTGGTTCTGTTTGTTTTTGTCCTTGAGCTGCTGGATTGAGTTGTTGAACAAAATGCTCGATGGAATTCTTTCGAGTTTCATTGAGTGGGAATTGTTTTAAGGCTTCTTTAAAAACGTCCACAAATGTAAATGCTAACAAGATGGGTATATCTGAAAAGTACTTTCCATTCACACATTGCTCAAATTTCTCTAGAGAGTATTCAAGTCGATTTTTCTCAATCATGGTATCGCTGAAAGGGTCTTTGACTTGAATGGTTTTGAAAAAGTCACACAAATTGACCACATAGACCATTGCATTCGATGTGTAGCAGCATATGATCCACTCTTTTTAGAGAATACGACTTGGGGATTGATACCTCCCTACATGATGATTTTTGTGATGTCATTCATATATTCATCAAAATATTATGACAATCCAAGAATTACATCAATACATTTAGCCATTCCACTCATCCTAATACATACCATTGTTATAATGCTAAATATCATGTTTTTCTGTTTGGGAGGAGATTTTTAACAACCTTTGGAGGAGGTTGTTCATGTTGTTCAGTTGCTTGTGTGTTACTACTGCTTGAAGTCACATTTAAAGACTTTAAGAAACTAAGTAATCGACGAGGACTCGAAAGTGGTTCTTTCTTTTCTTCCACGACTGGTTTTGTTCTTGAATCTTGTCGAGAACAAGAGGTCTTACTGCTGCTACCACTTCTTGGGTTGCAGAGCCTCTATGATTTCCAGCCAATGCGTTATATAAATGTGAATTTACAGAGAACAGTAATGTGGAGTCAGATTTGAAATAATCTGTGTGAGCATTTGTTGTAAAAGAGCAAGACAACACTGCCAACGATCGTTTCTTATGTTCTTCTTGTGGCCTCTGTTGTTGTTGGTTGGGTAGGGTTGGAGTTTCTTGAGGGGTGATCAAGATGGTTGTTGTTGCTGAGGGATTGTCTTGGCAACTTGTGTGATCAGAAGCCATCGTCGATGAGGATGATAAGGACGACAACAATGGATTTGGTGAGGCACTCGAAGAAATCTGTGAAAGTGGTGGTAAATTGAATTTGAATTTGTAATCTGTCATGGAAGATTGAATAGATTGGTTTTCTACAACCACTGGAGATATGTTCATCGTGTTAATGAGAGCAATGGCTTCAGTGGGCAGTTGAAGTGGAACATGTGCAATATCTTCACCTAAATATTGAGAAGAATTATCTAAAGTTCCATCGTTGACCACAACATGGCCAAACATATTCGATGGCATCTTTAACAAATATTGACTCACCATGTATTCCATAATGGAAGGAAAGGCTGAGAAGGCATTTCCAATGTGGGAAGCCACTTCACGTAGATACTGATCCTCCTTTGGAAAGAGAAACCTGTTACTGCCAGCAGTGCTCGCAAATAACGTATATGAATGGAAGGTATGTTGAAGACCCAAATGATTGTCCCACAATTCTTTGCAGTCATTGAGAAACTCAATTCTCAATCGTTGTGCACTCACCAACTGTTGAGGCTGGTGAATCTTTTTCATTCGAGACAAAATGTCTTCCGTCTTGTCGAGTCTCCATTTCAGTTGTTTGCAAGAGAGTTTTCCTTCCTTCATGACCACGAGTGCCTTCTCAGTTGCCATGGCATGGCAATATTCGCAATAGAGTGAAGGTTTTTCGGACTTTGAGGTGTGAGATAAAGAGCTCGATGGATGGGATGGGTTTTTCAATTTGTCTAAATTTGTAAATTGTTTGAGGAATTGATGAAATTCTTCTTCTGTTTTGTAGAGATAGCCTTTTGCTTCGGCATCATGAATTAATACACGAAAACACACAAATATTTGAGAAAGTAACTCAAAGGGTAGAGCCTTAAGAACAGCATTAGAGAAGGCATGTCTTCTCTTTTCAATACAGTAATGTTAGAAGAGGAATAAGACGATGGTGATGCATACTGATCCGATGCGATGAAAGGAGTGGCACTGTTTCCTGATTGCAAGGAATTAGGAGTTACTCTCTTCTTGAGAATTGGACCAAGGTTCTCTTTGTTGTTGGTCTGGTTGTTGCTTTCAATCTTGTGGATAAGGGAGCTCACATTTACATTTGATATTTCCGACTCTAATACTTTGTTGGAAGATGTTGCTGTTGTTGATGCAGGAACACCATGAGAAAGTAGTGAATGGGAAAGAAGTGGTCGGAGGATCTTCTTCGAGCGGGTGGCAATGGATGTTTCCGAGCAAACAATGGCAAACGAGGCAAAGGCTTTGAACGAGAAGATGTGGTTGCTGAGGGTGCAGAAGGATCGCTGGGAGTAGCAGTTGAGAAATCAAAAGTACGCGTGAGAGAAGATGAAGAGAGTGGTGGCCCTGGAGAAGGATTGTTCGTGTGTGTTGAATAATAATGGCTGTTGGAGTCATCATTGGTATTATTGTGGTTGTTGTTGTTGTGGATTTGATGATGATGGAGATGAACGGAAGAAGGAGATGCTACAAAGGAGGAAACGGTGGATGCCACGGAAGAAGATGATGATGGAAGAGAATTGGAGGAGGACGAAAAACTGAAAGGTTTTGAACTTGTGCTCACCTCTTCATTATTGGTCGGTGGTTGTTGTTGTTGATATGGTCGATGATGATTAGGAATATTCATTGGAGAAGATCGGAGACTTGATGATGATGGAGAAGAAGAAACATTTGAACTTTGTGGTATAGATTTCAAAGTTGTTGAGCCATGTGATCCCATTACTGTTACACCTCTTCCATCACCATCACCATGATTAATACTTGGTGATGACTCCACCAATGGAGTGGTATGAGGAATGAGTTGAAAGAGATGAAAAAGAGTTGATAACCCCGAATCGGAAAGGCCATACAACAACAATTGAACCATGATGACACTCTCTAGATATCGTCCAACTGGTTCTTATATTCAAATTCAATTATTGTGTTGTTATTGGGTTTGGAATCGAACACAGAGACAACAGGTTCTTATTTGTTGTTGTGTTCAATGGACCGATCTCAGAGCCACCACTCGTCATCACATTACGACAACAACCGTTAATGAGCAAGGACCAATAAACGTCGTGTTGGATTCGAGTATTTGCTTTGGCAACACTGACCAGTTATGTCGAGGACAAACCAAAAGCGAAACAATGTAAAACGTCAAGTCTAAAATTTATTTTATGTCATCTGTCTAAAAAACGAACGTTATTTTCTGCTGTGGCGAGTGCAGCCGTCATCACAACAAAATTTCTTCCTTCATCATCAACAGGCCTTGAAACACCACAAGGTCAATCTGATTGTATTCATCAACAATTCGAAAAGAAGATATTCAACGATTTGTTTTGTTCAACTAATAGTTGCCGAATCCAAAGACTCGAGAAGAATTGAACCGAAACAACTATTGTCATCATCATCATCTTCTGACAAGAGCAACCAACTAGAACAACGTTGTTATTCTTCTTCTCTCTCTGAATTTATATTCGTATCTACAAAATTGTGTCAAACATTGTTTAGCCATCCAACTCCACCGTTATATCAAACTCTAGAGTTTCCAACATCTTTCCAACGAATTGATCTGCTAGTTGTACTACTCACAAATAATTTCATCATTAATAGAAGTTGTTGAAGAAGAAAAAACTCATCGACACTTTCCACAATATTTATCGAATCACTCTCGTTATCCTCCTATATCAATTTAACGACTTACTTTTCACTCTCACAATGAGCGTCAATATGGCTAATGTGGTGGAGGAGCTCACCAAAGTTGCTCAACACAAACTTGAATCTCTTCCAGTCTCGAAAGATATTCCTCGTCTCGCTCGAAAATTTACTCTATTCAGATTTAACAAACAAGACGCAACAATGCAGGAAAAGAATTTCACAGCGGATAAGGCGAAAGATAAGATTAATATCGTTTTGTTCGAATTGATGCATGCATTGTGTTCAGAGATTGGTACTCAATCGACAGGTGGAGCCTCTCAAGAAATATTTGACACTGAGGTCAATACGAATATTCCAACAACCTTTGACAAGTATTTACTCAAGTATTATGGAGAGAATCATGCAATTATCAAATTATTGAAATGTTGTAATCAGAGTCCTGTGATTGCCGTTTTGTTTCATGTGAGAGAATGTCTAAAGAATCATGGAATTGAATTTAAGGATTGTAGAGGAATGTGGGTAAGTATTCATCATGAACGTTCACACCTTATGAGTGACATGTGTTGTGAAATGTGACTCAATAATGACATGGTTTTTAACACACGGAAGTTCCTGGATTTTCACACTGGAAAGGACTATAAAACACCAGTCATCACACAACGGCGTATCGAACAAGTTTACAGCGTTTCAGAAGATAAATCCAGTCTCATTTGCAAGTATAAATTCGAATGGGAGATATCTATACAATTTGATACACTAAATTGTGACTATATTACAAAAATTGAACTGAAACTGAAAGATCTCGATTACACTGGATATACATGCCCAGAAAAGGAAAAGGAAGAAAGTAGGAAAGTATTCGCAAAAGCATTCTCAGGAACTGTTGTGGATGGATTGAAAATTGCAGTCACAGGGGATTAATTGAAGAATATTTCTTTTGATAGATTCATTCTTATCATATGGATCGTTCGTGAATTGATTGACAACAACAAACGAGCGAACAACAATTTCCTGTAAATACTTCTCTCCATCATGATGGAATTGACATTTCATCCCAAACCTTTCCCTTCTTCTTTTCAATCCACCACTTTTCCATGCACAATTTCACATTGCATTTTACACTTGACTTGGACTTTTCACCACAACCGATTCACCTATTGACACTTCATGAGGTATTTCAATACACAAACTCCTCTCTAAGCATTCATGACCAACAAAAATTTATTAGGAATGGATCACCTGAACTATCATCTAAGACGTGACATCCAATACACAGTGTTCTCTCATTGACACTCTGAGAAGAAATAAAAATAAGAATATTGAAAACATGTTTCTGATAGTTCCATCCTAAACTTCCGTGCTTTAACTTTCTTTTATTACATTTGGTCGCTTTTCTTCACCAAAATACTCACACATGACGCGCCATGCAATTTCAAACTTTCATCGAAGAGAGGTTGTTGTTGAGGTGGACATTCAAAAAAAACGTTCATTCACATTTAGTGTTTTATTTTTTCATCATCATCACCCTCAAGAGGAGAAGACCAACGTTTGTTGAAGATGATGATTCCATCACAACCTGCTTTGAATCAGCAACAACAGGGAGAGCATCATGTTATTTGTACAAATAACAACAGCAACAGTAATAATGAAAAAAACTCTGTGATTGCCAAACGTTCTCGGGAATTCTTTCGTCTTTCTCATTATGAACAGGCTGGAGGAAAGAGTACAACTGCCATTGAAGAGGAAAAGCAGATGAAGGAACAAGAGGCATTATCGGAGCAAGAGGTATTGAACATGTTGGTGAATGGTGATACAGGTAAGTAATAATTCCGATATCGAATAACAAATTGTTGGAATTGTGTCTTTTGACATGTACTACCACATTGTGTCTGCAATACCATCACCCACCACTCCAATGACTCCTCCCATTGAATTGGTCGTCATGAATTGATTTCAACAAACACATGACCACTACTACCACCAACAACCTCAACAGATAGTGAAAGCCTTCGCCAAAAAACAAGCCTCATTCAATTCATTCATGATTCAATTATGGGAGACGATGAAGTTTTTAAATCACCTTTTGGCTATAGAAAAATTACTTATTGTGATTATACAGCATCGGGAAGGTCTCTCAGTTTTTGGAAGAGTTTATGAAAAAGCAAGTCATGACCATGTATGCCAACACTCACACAACAAGCTCAATTACTGGTCTTCAAAGCACATTGTTTAGACATGAGGCTCGTTATATAGTCAGAAATGCTTTAAATTGCGGAAAGAAAGATGTTTTAATATTTACTGGAAGCGGTTCTACAAGTGCTGTAAACAAATTGGTTCATTTGTTAGGTCTACAAAAGGGTGGTGACATGAATTTACTCTTAGAAAAGAGAAAATGGGAAAGAGAGTTCAATATCAAGAATAATTTATTGGCAGACAATAGCATGCAGCCACGACATCAAACTAGTTCATCTTTAAACTCTGATGATGATCAATTTTATGATGATTATTACAACGTAGAGAATGGAGTTGATATTGATGAATTAAGACCAGTTGTATTCGTAGGCCCAATGGAACATCATTCAAACATTCTTCCGTGGAGAGAATCTTGTTGTCACATTGTTCCAATCAAATTATATGTTCCAACAGCTGGCTCTGTTGCTACAAGAAACGAAGTTACTGATTTGGAGGATTTAGAAAAGAAGTTACAATACTTTAAGAATGGAAAGAGGCAATTAATTGGCGTCTTCTCAGCCGCTTCTAATGTCACTGGTGCTCTAGAACCTAATGTTAATAAGATTTCAATCTTAATGCACAAATACGGAGGTTATGTAGTTTGGGACTATGCTGCTGCAGCTCCCTATGTAAAGATGGATATGAATCCAAGAGGAGTCTCAACAGAAAATTTGGATCATACATTTGGAAAGATTAATGAGGAAATTCCAGATGAGGACAAGCCTTTATGTTACAAGGATGCTCTTGTTTTCAGTCCACATAAATTCGTTGGTGGACCTGGAACACCAGGTGTGCTTGTTGCCAAAAAGCACATGTTCCAAAATAAGATTCCTGAGAATCCAGGAGGCGGTACAGTATTCTTTGTGACCGACAGGGATCATCACTATGTGAAAAAGTCATATGAAAGAGAAGAAGGTGGTACACCAGAAATCTTGGGGTCAGTTAGATGTGGTCTTGTGTTCCAACTTCGACAAGCAGTCGGTACTCAATTAATTTCTCAAATAGAGACAGATTTTACGAATCGTGCCTTCAACGAATTCAAATCTGTCAAGAACTTGGTAATTCTTGGCCATGGACAAATCACACCACGTCTTCCAATTTTCAGCTTCCTTATTAGACACCATAACTCATTCCTTCCATCCACCTTCGTGTCAATCTTGTTGAATGATTTGTTTGGTATTCAAACTAGATCTGGTTGTGCATGTGCTGGACCATTTGCCCACTTCCTCTTTGGTCTCAAGTACAATGAAACTAAAAACCTTGAAAACGTGTTGTTGTCAGATGACGACTATGAGTTTTTGAGACCTGGATTTGTGAGATTGAATTTCAACTATTTTATGGATGAAGACACCTTTGTCTACATTACAAAAGCTGTTAAATTTGTAGCAGAGCACGGATACAAATTCTTACCATATTATTACTTTTATCCAGAAACAGGTGAATGGCTGCACAATCAAAATAGAAAATTTCCAACCAGAAGATGGTTACAAAACATTTCATATAAGAATGGAAAACTCGAATATAGACAAGAAATTGGCTACAAGATTACTTCTCCAGGCAAGGAGTATGAAAAATATTTAAAGCAAGCCGAAGAAATGGCTGAACAAGCATTTAAGGAATTCTCTAATCCTAAATTCAGAATTGTTGACCAAGATTTAATTCTACTCAACAAGACCAATACTAATTTATTGAAAGAAAACAGTATTATCAACAAGGAGAATCTTTCAACAAAGGAAGAGGAAATTGATCATGCTGAAAAATGGAGATGGTTTGTTTTTCCTAAGCAAATTGTCGAAGAGTTACAAGGAGGTGACATTAATTCAATTTTCAAACCCTCGTATTTGAAGCCATGGACAGGATTTTCAGTTTCAGATCAATCTACTATTCAGGACAACGGAACTGCCTCCACCCAGAGCCGTCTCATTCACTCCACTCTCACTTCAGAAATTAACCCATCCTTATCTTCCCTCTCAGATACATCAGAGTTAACATCGTCACAACCAACAGAAACTGTTCAACAAGTCGAAACCTCTGCAACATTGCCAACTGCACCAGCATCATCCATTGAGGGGCTTGATATTGGAGAAGATGATTTTGGAGGAGATTGGAAAAAGGAAAGTACTGCCAAACCATACGTTCAAAAACGCCCAGTCATGTTTAGCAGACCTGTCAATGTTTTTGATCAGGAAACCAACAAAGAGATCAAGCTCTCTGAAGAGGATGACAAGAAACGTAGAGAGGCACTCAAGAAGCATTACAAAATGTGGCCAAAAGTTGATGCTAAAACCATCATGGGACCTGTCAAGAGAGCAATTCGTGAATATGACATGATTCGTGACGGCGATCGTTTGCTGTTAGGATTATCGGGTGGTAAAGATTCTCTCACATTGCTTCACGTTTTGCATGCACTCCAATACAGTAACTTGGGCGTAAAATTTGAGTTTGGTGCATGTACAGTAGATCCACAAACAGCATCCTATGATCCATCACCACTCATTAATTATTGCAAACAATTAGGAGTTCCATATTTCTATGAATCCCAATCAGTGATTGAGGGAGCTAAAGAATGTAATGCGTCCTCGATTTGTGCTTGGTGTGCCAGAATGAAGAGAGGCATTCTGTACAATACAGCAAGAAGAGAAGGTTATAATGTGCTAGTTTTAGGCCAACATTGTGACGATTTAGCAGAGAGCTTTATTATGTCTATTTTCCACAATGGTTACATGAGAACCATGAAAGCTCATTATACGATTGATGCTGGAGATTTACGTGTGATTAGACCTTTGATTTATGTCAGAGAGAGTGAGACAAAGAAGTTTGCATGGGAGAACAAGTTGCCAGTTATTAATGAAAATTGTCCTGCTTGCTTTGAAATTCCAAAAGAAAGAGCACGTATCAAGACACTCCTCGCCAATCAAGAACTTATTTATCCTCAATTATTCCTGAGTTTACAAACAGCAATGAAGCCACTCATGAGCAAAGACATTGAAGTGGAAGGTCACAAAAAATTCAAGAGTGCCAAGCCTAAATATGAAAAAATTACTCAATACATTAAGGGATACAATGAAGGATCGTCCTCAAGCGATGACGCTGCAATGGTTTGTAGAAGAAAAACCATGGAGGAAGACGATGAATTCAATGATGATGACGATGTTGGAAATGTAGTAATGGGAAAGAAAGAATAAACTCATTATTTATTGCTTTCCCGTCGTGATTGTTCAAATCCCAAGCTTCAAAGTTAAAGGTCGTTCAAGTATGTGGAAATTGCTTCCACCATCAAAAAGTTACGGCATTCACTGGAACTGCACGGACCAAGGTAGGTGTTAGTCCCTTAAATAAAGATTTAGATTTTCTACACTCATTAAAAACGTCAAGCACCTTGACACTGTATTCTCCTTTGGCAGCTGCAACTGGAGATCGTGATTGAATGAGACTTTTCACTACGTCTGTTTGATAACAAAGGCCCCATGCACCAAGTCCTGCCAATCCTCCACTGGACAAAATAACTCTCGGATCAGAACGCATTTCTTCAGTCTTCTTCTTAATCTGCTCCTCATCTGCTCCTCCTTCCATCTGCTTTACAGCCAAATATCGAGCAAATCGTGTTTTGCATTGTTCATAGGTTGCAAAGTAAACTCCATTAAAACTCAATTCTCGAATCAGAGTCGACGAAAAACCATGATAAATTCCCCTTAAACCTCCTTCATATTTCCAAATAAATTTAGCACAATCCACAAATCCTCTTCTTCCCAAAGTACCAGAAGTTGACCTTGTTTTGATATGATCGGTCGAGGTTTGAAGTCTAATCTTTATCAGCTCTGTTGGACAAACCACAAAAGCAATACAAAATCCAGCCAATGAACCACTCACAAATTGAATAGGAATAGAGCTTCTACGAATCATAGTCTGTTCTTCCTCACTCAAATTCGAGCCAAGGAGTGTTTTGAGCACATTCGGAAGCAATCCATTGTAGACTCCAAACAAGATACAATTATTGATGGCTTCTCCAATGAGAGGAGAAAGTAGTCCCTTAAAGAGAGAACGAGCTCCTTCCTTGACAACAGCCTCTTTCAAAAAGTGAATGGCTCCAAATTTTGAGGAACTTGTTTGTGTTTGAAGCCTTACACGGATGGTATCTATTGTGGTTGATGGTTGTGGTGGTGATGATGAATGTTGTGCAGGTGTTGGGAAATATTAGATTTCAATATTCATAAATTTGAGAAATTGAGTCAATTTCAATGACCAAAGAAGGATTATTTCATCATCCAAAGAACAAAATTAATAACAGATGAACATTGAGATAATAAATCACCATCATACTTACCTAATGGATGTCCAACAATTATTCCCGATATTCCACCAATGCTTCCTGCCAAACACTCTTTGCCAAAATTCTTCATTAATTGTCCAAAAGACATTGGTTCCGATAATACTACTTGTTGTTGAGAGGTAGTAATTTCCTGTGGTGAAGATTCCATTCTTATTGTCCGTTAGTCAATAAATTATATTTGATGATGATTATAATTTAAGTCTAGTTCTGCAAATACTATTTTTCGTGTGGTTGTTTGGTGTTGTTCAATAATTTGAATCATCAATGAGTATTTGGCGTTACGATTTGAAAGAGATAAATTATTTGGTGTAAGTAGAGTAGAATACGGAATAACAACAACACTCTTGCTCGGACGAAATCAAGATCGCAAAATATTCAAAACGATATTTTTTTTTAAACAACAAAAAGGGGTGTTGGAAAAGGTTTCGTGACTCCCACTTCGGCACATCATAGAGTTGGTGATGATGATCGACTAGTATCTATTGTTTGGATAACGATGATGTGTTCAGAACGTTCTGATTAGACACAATTTTCAACAAGTTGTGTTTGAAATTAAATAAACAATCATTAGAAAAATGTCGTCTTCATCGGTCAGGACTTTTCTTTCATCCCGAACCGCTGCAAGAGCTCAAGCCATCGTTAACCATATTATGCGTAAGTAATAATATTATCATTGAGAGTTGCAACAACTTCTTCTCGTTAGCTGTAATTCTTGAAAATATTCGAAAAGACAATAACATACTCCCATCGGAAGCATCGTATGATATTTCTGAACAACAATTGCAAAGTATATTCCCTCCTCATAATTATCAAGAAGAGGAATTATTTACGCCCCAAAAGAAACTAATCTCGCATGCATTTTCAAAATATGAATTTGATTTATTCTTGAAAACTTTGATGGACGCCATTAATAATGGTAAAATAGATGCTTCTAATTTGATTGTTATGGATTTATGTGGAAAAGTTCACGATATGAACAATAATATTCTTATATTTGCTCTTCCAAAGCTCTCATTCCTGAAAGAAATCAATCTGAGCAATGTAAAATTAAATGATGATATTATTGTAGAAATTTGTACTAAAATTCCACAAATTGAGCGGTAAGCATTTAACAAAAATTTGGAGATGAGCAACATTCATCAAAACATTACTAGATTAAAGCTAGAAAACACATCAATTACGGACAATGGTTGTATTGGATTGATGAAATCATTGCCAAGACCTCAAAATATTAAGCATTTAAATTTGTCAAAAACAAGGGTCACTGAAAACTCCTTTAAATACTTGGCTGATCTTTTTTCAACCCTTGAAAGTCACTTAGAAAAATTAGAAATTGCATGTATCGATATAAGCCAATTGACTGTCACAAGATTATTGAAAAGTTGTAGAAAATTATGTAAAATTGAGAAAGGTGATGAAGGCTTGTTTGTTATTTTTAGAAATGATGTCATACTGCAAGTACCATCTAACCCAAACCAACGAAGCTATTCTTTACAACTCTACCATCCATTACTCGATGAAAAAATTTTACGAAACATTTTAAGCATCTACAGAAACGTCAACGATTTACATTTGAAAAGTGAACGACTCTCCAACCACAATGTTTCCAATTCAATACGATTCTCAAACATCAAAACACTTCAATCCTTCACTCTCAATGACCAACCTTTTAAGGTTAACTTTGATTAATAAAAACTGGGATTACTAAACAGTTGGTGCCAGCAAGAGATGACCGTTACACAAATTTTCCCCGCCATTCAAACGAATTTAAAAAAAAGTCATCAAACGCAATGTCTGGCTTTAATTTTGAAGATCATACCGACATCAACAATGAAGACTTGAACACGGACTTATCCTCTGTCTATGAACCGAGATGGAAACGAAAACAGAAGCAACGACCTCAATCCACAACGACTGTGGATCAAGTCATGACGGATGTCATCATCACGATGAACAACATCTCGTGTTCTTCCGGACCCACTACAACCACTTCTACTACTTCTCTGGATCAAAGATTTATACCATCCAGAAGAACATCTCAAGATATGGATATTTGTAAATTTAATTTAATGAATTGTATGGAAGATGATGATGGTGGTGATTGTGGTGGAGGCTCATTCGATTCCTCTTCTTCCTCCGATAAGGAAAATACGCACAACAGAATTTTAGAACAACGTCTTTTTGATGGTAAAAAGGTGAAAGACGCCAAGATTTTAGCATTAACGGAGAAGGCTCCCAAAGCTCCCTCGGACTGGCACAATAATTTACGAGTTCTTTATTCTCAAAACAAAATATTTCCTGGTAATGGTGGAGCTTGTCAAAATAATGCAAGAAAGCAAGTGGTGTCCAGACACATTCCTCAAACTCCTGAAAAGGTGCTAGATGCTCCCCAAATGATAGATGATTATTATTTAAATTTATTGGATTGGAACTCAAATAATGTATTGGCAGTAGCTCTTTGTGAAAGTGTGTATTTGTGGAATGGCGAGACCGGAGACATTAACAAATTAATGTCTTGTTCTCAGCAAGACAACTATATTACCAGCGTTTCATGGGTAGAAGATGGAACTTATTTAGCGATAGGAACCAACTACAACGATGTACAAATATGGGATGTTAACAGAAGCAAACAAATTAGAACTATGAAAGGTCATACACAACGAGTATGCTCATTGGCTTGGAATACATTCATCTTGTCAAGTGGAGGAAAGGATGGCAAAATACTTAATCATGATGTGAGACAAGCGAAACATTTAATCACTACTCAGAGCATCCATCAAGATTTTGAAGTTTGTGGACTGAAGTGGTCACACGATGGTAATCAACTCGCTTCTGGAGCCAATGACAATATCCTCAATATTTGGGACAAGTCTCTCTTGCTGACACAAAGCGAAATCATGCCTAAATTCTCATTAAGAGAACATGTAGCTGCTGTAAAAGCTTTAGCCTGGTGTCCTTGGCAAGCGAATCTTTTAGCTTCTGGAGGAGGAACCAGTGACAGAAAGATGATGTTTTGGAACACCCAAACAGGTACCTTACTTAACACGATAGATACTAATTCACAAGTTTGTTCATTGATTTGGTCCAAAAGTGATCGTGAAATTATTTCTTCACACGGCTTTTCTCAAAATCAGCTTTGTGTTTGGAAGTATCCATCACTTGTAAAAGTAGCTGAATTAACAGGACACAAAAGCAGAGTGCTTCATATGGCTCAAAGTCCTGATGGAACAACCATTGTCAGTGCAGCTGGAGATGAAACATTAAGATTTTGGAAAGTTTTTAGTCCTATCATGCACGCTGATAAATTAACGCCATCCGAGCACCAATCCGTTTTAGCAACAGCACCCCGAAATATGCGAAGCATTAGATGATGTTTTAATTGGATAAATGCTAAACTTCGTACATTACTATATTATCCCGAGATTTTCAGATCATTTCAAATTATGTTTCCAAACGGGTCTCTAAGTGGTTTTCTAAAGGGCCAATTTTTGCATAAAATTTTCCACAAAATGGAGAAACCAAATCAACTGATGTACGTATTACAACAGACGAGTTTGATCACGATGCAAGAAAAATTTGCTCTTACCATCATCAGTCGTGACATCTGAATTTAAGACAGTTGGTGATTTGCAACAAGGTTCCATCATTGCTTTTCCTAAAACAAATTTATTGTGGGTCTGAGATTAAAAATCCTCACTGAATTAGGGACTGTACTATTATTTGCCACTCAGCTTCTAATTCAACTGGTGCTCCTCCCGAAAACCAAAATTCAATATTTGCACGGCGAGCCTATAGGCTGCTTAATAAATGATTGTAACCCTTTCAATTTTTATTTTTCGATAGGCTGAAGAACTAATTCATCTTCTTTGTTTGTGTTTCAAAAAAATCACCAAATAAAAAAATGCTCGACCCATTGTTCTTTGTTTTCTCAACAGTAGACTACGAATTCGAAGAAAAGATAGCAGCCAACCCTTTCTTCTTGAAAACCTGGTTGGCATACATCCAGTACAAACAAATACATCAAAATAATCATACTAGCTACAACAATATTATTAACGCAATATTTGAGCGTGTACTTTCCTGCTTACCAGGAAGTTACAAGTTATGGAACATGTATCTTGATATCCGAATAGCACAATGTGAATACTTACACCCGATAACCAGACTGGACACCATAAAATATTCATTTCCAGCTTCTGATGGCGATTTACATAACAACAACAACAATTACTCAAGATCGGCCATTCTCAATTCCAATCCTTTCTCGATGTCATCGCTGGGAATAATTGAGAGCGTCAATCAAGTTTTCGAAAATTGCTTGATCACCATGCACAAAATGCCTACAATTTGGTTAAAATATTTAAAATTTGTTGTAAGAACACAACCAACGATCACTCTGGTTCGGCTGATAATGAACAGAGCTCTTCAGGCTCTTCCTGTCTCTCAACACGACATTGTTTGGAAGTTTATTGTTTGGGAATGGATCTTGAACGAACAAGCGAAAGTTCCGAAAGAAACAGGATGTAGATTGCTGAAAAGGTATTTAAAGCTCGACCCATCATTCATAGGCAAATACTTGGAATATTTGTCAAAATCTGGCTATTATTCCGAGATGTGTGAATTACTCATGGGAATTCTTGCCTATTCTTCTTCTGATGGACGCAATTTTGGCCATCCCATGTTGCATGTTGGTATTGCAATAGACAAAGTGGCATCTTGCTATTTAAAAGAGCATTCACCGCTACATGTTTGGAACCAATTTTGCTCTCTTATTTCTGAACAGGCACAACGAATCAATATCCCTCATTCCGCTATTGAGTCTGTTCTTGTGTCCGGAACAAAACGATATCCCAGCGAAATTGGAAAGTTGTGGACAACATTAGCACAGTATTATATTCAGCATGGAAAATTTGATGCTGCCATTAGTTCATACGAAAAGGGGATGTCGAGCGTTTCTACTGTTAAGGATTTTAATTTAATATTTGACACTTATGCCAAAATGTTTGATGAACTTATTAAGTTTCATATGCAACTACTGGAAAAAGGGCTTGACGGGCAAAATCAACAAGAGCTTGGCCTAGAGGTACTCATTTCTAAATACGAAAATTTAATGGACCGACGATCATTTCTTCTGAACTCTGTCAAGTTAAAGCAAAATCCAAACAACATTCATGAATGGCACAATCGTTTAAAGTTGATAAAAAATAGAGAACAATTTAACAGCAAGGATTCAAACCAAAAAGCCGATGATATCATTTCTTGCTATGAAGAAGCTATTTCCAATATCAATCCTGAAAATGCGAGTCATGGGAAAATTTTCTCCATATGGAACAGCTATGCAAGGTTTTTCGAGATAGAATTGCATGACCTCGGACAGGCAAGAAGTGTGTACAAGAAGTTTCTGGATAATATTAACTATCATGATTATCCTGTCTCCACAATGGATGTAGAAAAAGTTGTGTGTGATTATGTTGAAATGGAAATTAGAAATCGCAACAACTACGAGGCATTATCTATTCTATCAAAGATGATTCATTCCGGTGAAGATACTCTAAAATCCTCATGCAGAAAATCATTGTCAGTATGGAACCTGTTCTTAGATCTTGAAGAAAGTGTCAATAACAACATCAAACGAATGAAGAGAGCTTATAATGAAATGACCGAAATGAAAATTGTGACTCCTGCTACGGTTATCAATTTCACACAATTCTTGATTGAAAACAGATATTTCGAAGAGGCCTTTTCTGCTTTTGAAAGGGCTATATCACTGTTCAACTATCCACAAGTATATCCTATTTGGACTCAGTATTTGCTTCAATTCATCTCAAGATATCAACACACAAAACTAGAAAGAACAAGAGATTTATTCGAACAAGCATTGTCTCAAATGCCCTTTTATTCAAAAGAAAGAATAGGTCAACAATCAGGGAAAAATTACGTCGTAAAGAACTCCCATGCCAGAGATTTCTTTTTACTCTATGTTAAATTCGAGGAAACATTTGGAATGAGCTCTAAATCAATTAGAGTATTTGATAGAGCTATCAAGTCTGTTTCTCCCAATTCTCAAGAACAGTTTCAATTGTATCAATTGTATATCACGCGTGTCAGTGAGTTGTTTGGAGCTGCAAAAACTAGAGAGGTTATGGATTTGGCACTCAATCAAGCGGTGGAGAGCAACGATGCATCTCATCAATCGAATTGCTTTATTCGAGATTTGACATTGCGATATATCTCTATTGAGCTTAAACTGGGTGAAGTAGATCGATGTAGAGGTTTATTTGGCTTTGCTGCCACCTTCTGTAACCCAGAAAATCAAGAGCACTTTGCCAAATTTTGGGAAAGATGGGCAAAGTTTGAGAAGCAATTCGGTAATGTTGAAACCTTCAAAGAAATGCTCAGAGTTAGAAGATTTATTAAGCAGCAGTACAACTCAGAAACATCTTCTTTCTCCAACAAGTGATCCTAGCTTGTTTTTGTTATCATTACAACTCCCTTTTCTGTGCAAGCCTCCAAAACAGAGCTATACGAGACAGTTGCGAACACCAAAGTGGGACTAATTTTGTTTTCGGAAAACTCTTCTTCTTGCAAGTACACTCTTCCAGAATCGGTGACGAAAGCTACCGCCTTTGATCCTGATGTTATTCTTAATATCTGCTCCCTTATGCACTTGGCAACAGAACCAGATAGCTCATACATCCCAGTACCGTCCCATTTCAAAAGAATGTCTTCATCAATAAACAATTTGTGTTCGCAGAAAGCCCTGATAACACAGTAGTTGTTGCAACAATTAATAGACACAGAAATGAATGGAAAGGAAAAATCCTTGGAGAATCCTATTAATTCGTTAAAGTTATACTCCTCAAAGAGAGGTTTTTTAGATCCTGCCACCATCCCACAAACAAGGATTTTTAGCTGGGATGAGGATAGCGCAACAGAAAAGAATTGACCACACCCAATCTCGTCAATTGAGTATTTTCTCAACCCTTCATTTTCAGTGATAAAACTTGTTCTTTTTTGGCTGGTTGGTAGGAATAGTTGTCCTTTATCCTGTTGACCAGCAACATAAACTCTATGATCTTTATCCAACAAAAGGCAATGATATCTTCCCACTCCAATTTTTGTTATTATTTTACCCTCAACAGATCCTGCAACCTTGGTTACGTCAAAGATGTTGCAGCCTTTAGATTTAAATCCTAAATTGCATTCTTCATTAAAGCCGACCACAAAAACCTCTCCCTTTTCGGTCAAAAAAAAAGTTTGATTGTATTTACAAATAATTTTCTTTACCTTAATGTTGGAGGAAGTAAAATAATTAACAATACCAAGTTCTGCTTGCTTCACAGATTGGCCAAGTGCAAGCTGACCAAAGAAATTGCTTCCAGCGGCAAAAATTGTGTCCGAACATCTGATCAGCAAATGATGATCTCCAGACGACACCTCAATATCGTCCAAAGCTGTAGATGCAAGATGTTGATGAATAACATCTCTTTTGTTCACTAACTCTCCGTACAAATTTTCACCAATAGTTGTGATCAGGAGTTTGTAAGCCATTTTTTATATTATCGCCTCTCTTTTACTGTACTGTAAAACATACATCGGAAATTGGCAGCATTTTTTCCAAACTTTGGTCGACGAACACCCCTTTTAAGGGAATCGACAAAAAAGCTGGACCATCAGAAGCTCCCCTTTGTGATTTTCTTGATGGGTGTACAAGAGAAATAAATCCACAATACAAGGTTTAAAAATGGAATAGGCATCACATCAACCATGATGATGGCAAAGGGAGACCACCGAGTCTCAGTAACCTTAAGAAAGACATGATCATCAGGAAAAAGAAGAAACAGTGTGAGTTTTTTGTATATTCCTTGTATTTCACTTTAGACACATCATAACCATCGTCATCATCACTATGCGAAGGAAATTAATGCCTTTTGGATGTTGTTTTTTCTTTGGCAGACAACCATTGTCTTCCTTCATGCAATGGAAAGCTCTTTTGACCATCCACAGCGATTCATCCACCTTTCTAAACCATCATCACTCTTGTCGATCGTTTTCAACAAGTTCTCTCTTGACCGCTGGCAAGAATAATCTTTTCTTGAAGAATTGTGGAATCCCTTCAATTACCGCAATATCAAATCAACAGAAAGGCCATAGCGGGGGTATCACGTTCCAAATAACGAGGGAAGGTATTCTTGACAAGCCCAAGGATATCATTGAGGAATTGGAAAAGATGTATTTGACAGGAAAATTACGTTTAGATTCTTTGCTCATTCTCCCACAGATGTCATTGGAACAAAAACGAAAACTTTTGGACAACCCTCAAGACTGTCCATACTGTCCATCGGTTTTTAGTCATGATTCAAATAGGGAATACCTTTTAAAACAATGGAGAAGATTTGACTTGATGTTTAAATGCGGTCTGTCTGATGCAATAATTGTCCGTCCAGAAGATCAACAGTTTTTTATGGGCAAAAAAGAAAGAGAGGGATTTGATGGAGAACAATACCTTTTTTTGGATATGATGCATGACACTCCCAGTGAGGTGAGAAAAGCATTGTGGAAAGGATATAAGGCTTTGACCTCTCCAATTCAAGAGGATCCACACCATACTGAAACAAAGCCAAATGAACCACACCTTTCCAAGAAGACAAAGTCGTATGGCGAGGACTTGAGGTCGAGAGAAAACTATGAACATTACTGGAAAGGTATCAAACCATCATCTCGTCCAGATTTTTTAATTGACCAAATGGACTACTCGACCCTTGACGTTGTAAAACAGATTGATGATTACCTCCTGTTGAGGTGGTGTCGATATTTCAAAATCGATTTCCAATTAAGAAACGTTAAGTCTGTTCACAAGAATTGTGAAATAGCTCTAACGGAATTTCTTGAAGGTGTTTTGATCTTTAAGGACGGTACTCCTTTTGAAGAGAGGGAAGAGAAAACTCGTGAAAGGATGAGGCAATCACTACTTTCGAAGGAAAAGAAGATTGACACTTTTGGAAAGCATCTCTCTCTTCGCAATTATAAGAGCTTTCCTTTGGGCTTTTTTACAGCTCCTCATAACAAGGAGAAAGAGAAGAAGCAGGACCTCCCTATTTGGTGGAAAATGCAAGAAGAGGTGGGACATTTGATGGATAAAGAATCACACATGAAGCTGAGAGGCAAATACTACAAGCATGCAGTGCTATTATGTTGGATAAGCAGAGTTAAAAGTTTAGAAGAGAAAAATATTTCTGAAATCAAGAAACTCTTGATTGAAAAAGAAGAAAAAGAGTTTGAAAGGTTACTTGAAAAGAGTGGAGTACAGGTTGCAGATGTTGAAGAAACTCTTCACCAATAGGAGAATAATAATGAGGCCTTTTTAAAGGACCTAAGATCTGGTTACAAATTTTGTTGTGAGAAACGACGTAATGAAAAAAGAGAACAGTTCGGAATCTTTGCAGAAGTAGAGGCTTTTTTCAAGCTAAAACTGCTGTCTTTCGATAACCCAGATTTGGAGATCCTGTTAAGCTTAATTATTCGAGCAACTCCTCAAGGACCAGTGTCTTATTTGGGAAAGGAATATCTTTATGAAAAAGATCACAAGTTCCCTTTTGCATTGGGAGGGGAATCAAGTCCGGAAAATCTGCAACTCTTAATACCTTCTGTAAATAGAAGCAAGAAGCATTATCCTATGGAATGGCAAGAGAAATGTGCCAAAACGTTTGATAAAGAAAAGGAACTTGAATTTGCGAAGGGATTACTTATGAAGACTAATTTGTATGAAACATTTTTCAATTTGAAAAATAAGGAAAGGTCAGAATTCTTCTGGTTTTTTATTGAAATAATCCATAATATGTCAAAAGTGAAAAGAAAACAGAAGGAATAAAATGGAAAGATGAGAGTCTTGTAATTGTTGTGTTTCGATGAGGCCCCATCAAACCTTCAACCGTAGCGAACAGCCATCCATTCCTCAAAAACTAAGCATAAAACTACAATACAACATTGATAACTCTGTTAACCTGGTTGTCAAGGTAGCTCGTTCTTTGATTCCAATTTTACACTCTTTGAGTATTCCGTCTTATTTGGAGGTTCTTGGTTGGGACATTTTTTGCGCTTCACCACCATGAAAAAAAATGGACACATCTGTTAAGGTAAGCCTTATGTCGAGCTTTATTTCAAACAGGTCTTGCCAGGTGGTTGTAGTCGGAGATGGAGCAGTTGGTAAAACATGTAAGTGCTTGTTTCGAGTTCTTTCCTCTCACATTTGTTAGGTATGCTTTACTGTTACGCAAATAATCAATTTCCGGAAGGTATGATGAACTCCAATGCTTTTTATTTTAACAAAATTAATAATATGATATTGGAAAATTGAACTAGATTATGTTCCAACGGTTTTTGACAATTACAACGCCAATACATTATATGGAAACCAATCTGTGAGCCTTGGATTGTGGGTATGTACTTTATTTAATCACAGAAATGTACAGAAGATTCTCTCACATTTGAAGGACACGGTAAGTCGAACTGTCAGTTGTTCTTCGCTAATTATCATCAGGCAGGTCAAGAAGATTATGACTCTTTGTAAGTACTAAAAGAGACTTGTGTACGTTCTTAAAAAGAATTATTAGACGCCCCTTAAGTTATTCCGAAACTGATGTGTTTCTTGCATGCTTTTCAGTCACTTCGAAAATAAGTCTTAATAATGTGAAACAAAAATGGTTGCCTGAGATTAAGCAGCATATGCAAAAAACACTCCGATTCTTCTTGTTGGATTAAAGAAAGATTTAAGAAACGATCATAAAACGATAAAGGAAGCTCAAGAATTTGGTGATGCAATTGTTTCTGAAAAAGAAGGAATGGAAGCAAGCAAAGCGATGAATTGCGTGACCTATTGTGAATGCAGTGCTAAAACGAGGGAAGGTTTGGAGGAGGTTTTTCTGAATGCAATTGCAGCTGTGTTGGATCCTCAACAATTCATACATATGAGCGAAAAACAACCAAAGAAAATCCCAAAAAAGAAAGGTTGTTCACTCCTATAAATTGTTGATAGAAATGTTGTTTAATTGTTGTACAGTTTGGCACCTCTGTCGTAACCCAGCAGCAAAAACATGTTCATGTTTTGGACCAACAGCTTTCCTTCGTCAATTGATTCAATTTTTCTCAAAAAAGAGACACCTAAAAGTCTCATCAATTCAGATGAATGCAAAGTACACAATGCAATAGGATGAATACCTCCTTCGTTTTCAGGGAAAAACGTCAAAAACTCCAATATTTCCTCTCTAGAATTTATGTGCTTGATGAACAATTGAAACATGGTAATAAGCTCTTCTTCATTCAAAATATTTGACCGCAACTTCTGAACACAGCTTTTCAAATCAATTATTTCTGGTGAAATGTAAATTTGTCTCTTTCCTGATCTGTATTTCTTTTTGTTATGTTTAAATGATGATGTAGCTCTCCAAGCTAATGCTTTTTTGATGTTATCTGAAATCGATTCATGGGCCGATGAGGTTCCATAATAGATTTGTTGTTGATACAGAATTTGCTTTTCTTGATCGAATGCCAAATCAATTATTTCTTTTGAGTAATAATAAAATTTTGATCTAATTAAATCTTCTAATATTTCAAAACCGCTTGACTTTGGAGTTTTGAATTGAATTAATTCTATTAAATCCTTAATAAAATATAAATCGTCTTGTGTTAAATAACAAATATCGTCAAATGTTTTTGGTCTGGTAACTCCTACTGTATGTCCAATCGAGTCAATAATGTCGAGAGTATCTGTTAACACTGAATCAAAAAGAGATTTTTCTTGGGGAGATGGTTCTGTTGAATGTTTTGCATCCATGATGTTGGTTTTCGATGCTCTTTGTTTTTTCTTCTCTTTTTTTTCTTTTTTCTCAATCTTCTTGCGCTCTTTATGAACCTGTGTGAAGGATTGATTCACTTTAACTTCAGACTTGTCAATGTCTACCAATACGTCATAATATTCTTCTCTGTAGGCAAACATTGGATTACAAACACCTACAATGTATCCCTCTACATCTAAAAACTCCAGATTAGAAAAACTGGCATATGGAAACGTTCGAGTTTTCAATAAATTATGCATTTCAGGAAACATGGCAACCGCGGATAGAACTGTGTTGACAACTTGACCTGCTAATTGTTGAGAACTGAAAAATATAACCCGTTTCTGATACAAAATTGCATTATAGATTAGCATGGTATCCTCTTTAAAGGTGCTAACAAGTCTACAAAGACTAACTTGCGTTATTCCATTGATTCTATATTGAATCTCATTTTCTGATAAACAAAGAGGGATGGAGAGTGTAATATGGTCAACTTTGTTGCCATATTGAAATGAAGTTGTATGGTTGTAATTGGTAAATTTTGATTTTGCTAATGCATATCTCCAGAAAATGCGTTCTTGGTCTGAATATATAGGAAGGTTAGAAATTTTGACTCCATTACAAGTTTCGAATATATGCTCAACAAGAGTTTGGACAAGATTGTCAATAAGTTTAGCATCATCTTGAATATCCAGCTCTGAAAGATCCATATCATCTGACTTTCTTCTTTCTTTGCTGTACATAGTGTGATCATAGGCATCAAAAATCTGATCTAAAGCTTTACTCAATAAATCTCTGAGAGAAAAGCAATATGGTTTTTTGGAGGCGATTGCCAAACTTTTCACTCTTGCTCCTCTTCTAACCCCTGTTTGAATTAATAAAATTAAATCAAAGAAAAATATTCAAGCACCACAAACCTTCATACTTCTTTTGCTTCTGAACATTCAGTACATGATAAAATGTTTCATTATCAGCATCATCAGATGGGTTGTTGTGTTTGCTTCTGAGAAAAAATACAGTTGTATCTTCCACGCAGTTATGAGATCCATCGGGAAGCATCAAATTGGCGATTGAATATTCCGAATCATAAGGATATACTGTTGGATGTTGTACTTTTAGTATTGATCCTTTATCAATATCAAATTCGGCTAGAAAAATATACTCGATATCCATTATTGCGTGATTGGGGTTACTGAGTTGGACAATTATTAGATGTGGCAAGTTCAATGAGCAGCCAAAATTTGAAATATTTTTTTGGTATTATTTGAAAGGTTCGCGAAGTAACACCTGTTACTCTGATCAGAACACCATTCTCTTATGCATTCGCAACGCAGTTTTTGGGTGATGCCAAGCCAGTTTCGCTGAAGAAAAGTACTTTATTCTAGTCCATTATCCAAGCGAATCTCTGCTCACTCCAGCGAAAAATCTCGTTTCGCACACATAAGACTTCTGTGAAGCAATAGATACATAATACAAAAGGAAGCAATAATTGCCGAAGGAACACATGCAGTGTTACGGATTCAAATAACGTTGGTGATGGTCCATTCAATGAATTCAAAGAAAACTTTACCGAGAATTTCCAAGCGAAATTTTCTTCTCCCAGAAATTCAAATCATCCAATCAAAAGTGAGTTTTCTTTACAACAGCTGCTGGCCAACCGAAAGGAGCGTTTGTCCTCAACAAAATTGCGAAAGATTTTTGAAATTGTTGTTGAAAAAAATTCTTCATCGCTCCTCTCGTTCATCACCATGGTTGAAACATTCCACTTCTCCTCAGAGTCCGTAACTGAAGGACATCCAGACAAGATTTGCGACCAAATTTCTGACGCTGTTCTCGATGCTTGCTTGAGCATTGATCCATATTCAAAGGTTGCTTGTGAAACCTGTTGCAAGACTGGTATGATTTTGGTCTTTGGTGAAATTACCACTCAAGCAGTTCTTGACTTCCAAAAGATTGTCAGAGAGGCTGTCAAAAAGATTGGTTTTGACGACTCAAGCAAGGGATTCGATTACAAGACTTGCAACGTTTTGGTTGCTATTGAGCAACAATCTCCTGATATTGCTGGAGGAGTACATGTTGGTCGTAAGGAAGAAGAATTAGGTGCTGGTGATCAAGGACTGATGTTTGGATATGCCACTGATGAAACCGAGGAGCTGATGCCATTGTCCCATTTGTTGGCTTCTAAATTGGCAAAGAGATTGACGGAGGTCAGAAAGAATGGTACTTTGCCATGGCTTAGACCCGATGGTAAGACCCAAGTTACAGTTGAATACGAGAAAGATGGTGGAAATCTTACACCAAAGAGAGTATCTACCCTATTGATTTCTACTCAACATGACGAAAACATCACCAACGAGGAAATTCAAAAGCAATTGAAAGAACACGTTATTATCCCAGTAATTCCTTCTCATTTGTTGGACGAACGAACCATTTATCACATTAACCCATCCGGTCGTTTCGTTATCGGAGGTCCACAAGGTGATGCTGGTTTGACTGGAAGAAAGATTATTGTTGACACTTATGGAGGTTGGGGAGCTCATGGTGGTGGTGCTTTCTCTGGAAAAGATCCAACCAAGGTGGATAGATCTGCTTCATACGCAGCTCGTTGGGTTGCTAAATCCGTTGTCGCTGCCGGATTGGCCAAGAGATGTTTGGTTCAAGTTGCATATGCTATTGGTATCGCTCATCCATTGTCCGTTCATATTGACACTTACGGAACTGCACAAGGTGGCAGAACAGACTCTGATATTTTGGAAATTGTCAAGAAGAACTTTGACTTGAGACCATATCACATTATCAAGGATTTGGATTTGTTGAAGCCAATCTACTCTCCCACAGCAGCTTACGGTCATTTCGGAAGATCTGAATTCCCATGGGAAGTTCCAAGACCTTTGAAGTTCTAAATCAATTTCATTCCAACCAATTGAACAATAAAAACCTTTTGAAAAAATTGATATGAGCCATTTAGTGTGAATTCAGTTCGCGACTTCTCTCATTAAATAGTCCATGCTTCCAATAGCTCCTCCAGCTTGACTCTTGGGTTTTTGCCCTCTCCATCAAACTTAATCTTGCTGGCTATGGTCTCTGAATTTTCATGCTTGAAAAGAAGTACTTTGGATCTCAGCTCTTGATCTTCTTCCAATTCGTTCAAAAATGTTTCGTAATCTTTCCCTTCTGGCTCCATGCAAAAGTGCTTTAACGTCCAAATTCGTTGTGTATCCCAATCATACTTTTTTCGAACAATAATTACATCAGGTACTACAAGCTTCTTGTAGCTTAATAAATCTTCATTATTGAAGTTGGCATTCTTCAGATCATATCCATATACAGTGTCTCCAGCCTCAAGCAAATGAGAAAGATGACAAAATGTTTGTATGTCATGAGAAATGCCAAGCTCAGAGGTTTTAACGACAGATACTTCGCCCAATTGGAATCTTCCTGATTGAGCACTTACAACTCTACCTTTATGATTTCTCTTCATCTCGACGTCATTTACGGTATATTCTAGCAATTGAGTTGCTGTCAATAGAGGTCTAAATGGAGATTGAAAATAAGTTTGAGAGCTCACTTCAAGGGCTATTCACCGGTAATTCGAACAACCACATTCCAAATACATAAGTAAAGGAATTCCAATAACAATTTTAAACGAACATAACAATGGATACAATCAATGCAGACTTTGGATGTTAAATACTTACTTTTTAAAGTATATGGGTCAATAAAAAACAGGGAATTGGTAACTTTGTAACAAACAACTAAGGGTCTTTATAATTGTAAGATTTAATAGAATGTAAAATATTCAAATACTTACCCTATTTGCCCGCTACTATTATATAATCTTTGAGGAAGACACACAAGATCACCTGTATAAATAGGGGCAATTTCAATGTAGTACGTATCTGCATCGCTGTTTGATTCCAGATTTGAAGACGCTCCTATCACTTGAACGCCTAAAATTTATATATGAATATAATAGATCGTAAATGATTGTCAAAAACTTGTATACGATACAATACCTCCTCCTAATTTTCCTTTTTGAAAGGCTCCTGTCATAATGGATTTGTTTTGTAAATCTCGAATGGGCAACAGATTGCTGAGCAATGTTATAAATTTGATAACGTTTGTACTCTCTGACGTTGCAGCATCTTGTGTGGCGTTGGGGTTTTGGTCAATCTCTTCGTCTACATTGAGATTGATGTTTGGATGAAAATAAATGTCAAAACCGTGAGCCACTTTTTCGAAGGCTAAATGTGGGAATCTTTTTGTTATTTGGTGTTTCAACATGAGCTGTTCTAAGTAATACAAGGTCCTCTCATGACTTGTTTTTTGACGTATTTGGACAATAGGCTTGTCCGATGCTGTGATATTTGCTCGTTTTTTCTTTTGAGTCATTCGATTAGCTTTCTTTTTCTTTTTAGAGGTATGAATTTGTTCTTGATAGTTATTTCCTTCATGTACTTTGGTGTCCTCAAAATCAGAAATGGACATCATATCCGCACCTCTTTTCTTTTGTGATGATGGTACATCGGTTTTTCTTGCAGGAGGTTTTTTGAAGCCTTTACCTGTTTGCTTTTGTCTCATTTTTTGTTGAGCTTCACCATGTGAGGAGCTTGAATAATAAATCCCACAATCTTGTCAGAGTTGAAGGACAGTTTATTGGACAAAGAGGAAGTGTGAGATTTTTCTCTCGTAAAATGATGAACAACACAATTATTCATGCGTGTCAACAGAAGCTAAAGTGATTGATACAATACTTCATCACTGATCCTTGAATGTGATTTTGGATGTTTTAAATGAATAAGGTATGCTAAGTGTTATTGTTACAAGGAGTTGATGATTACTGAGTGTTTGACGAAGAGTTCGCTCCATTATTCTGTTGTCCGCCATTGGCATCTTCTAGATGACGATTTCCATTTCTGAATTCATTCAAATAAACAATGAACTTAAATATTTGCTTAAGATAACGTTCCACTGACATAATTTCCAGAATATTGTTGTGACCTGCATAGTCTATAAACAGAGGTGTATATTTGTATTTCACCTTTTGTTGAAGAATCTCTCCGTGTTCAAATGGAACCACCTCGTCAACTTTTCCATGAATGATAAAAACTGGGCATTTCACTTTATCTATCCGATCAATGTTTCTGAACATGTCAAAGAAAATCTTCTTGTTGGTATTGACTTTGATACGAACAACTGTCGTAAATGGGCTTTGAAGAATAACTCCTCTAAAGTTTGAATTTTCTTTGGAGGCAATATAAGTACTTGGTCCAGTGCCAAGAGATGTACCAAATCTGCATTTCATGAATTTGTGTTATCACACAAATATTTGAAATCTCTTGTTATTATCATGAATCTTATCACTAATACATACACTATTATTCTATCTTCTGAGAAACCTCTTTCTGTCTTTAAATATTTGACGGCTGCTTCAATGCTGGCATACACTCTAGGTTCTGAGCAGCTTACTTTTGGCTCAGATATTCCATATCCTTGATATTCGTACCCACAAACGTTGATCTTTAAAGAACTGCGAAGAAGCTCCAGGTATGGCATTGTTTGACCTAAGTCAGTGGCGTTACCGTGGCTGTACAATAAACAAAGATCGGATCTAATTGTTGATGAAAATAACAATAAATAATAATAATGTTAAATAATAATAATTGATGAGGCCGACGATTGTCAAGAACCGCCCGTTTTTCAAAAAACGCATCATCACGATCACAACAGATTTTTAAAATAAATTTCTATGATCGAACGTACCCTTTACATTCCAAGAACACGAGCGGTATTTTGACATTCACTTTTTGCCCTCTTTCATCAACAACTTTCTTGTCTTCGCATTCCAGAAAGATGTACTTGTCTGACTTTGTGTAGCTGGCTGGTTCTGGTGGTTGAAAAAGCAAACGGGAAATGAGACCGCCCATTTTTATAAAAATGCTCGGTGATGGCACTGCAGAGCGGACCAGCTGTGGAAAAGCCAGCAATGAAAAAGAAAAAAGGAAACAACATGATGATTCTACATCAGAAAAATCATCAAACGAAGATAACACAAAAGGAAGGAAAAAACATAGACTCTCGTGGACCAATGAATTACATAATTTATTTGTGGAAGCTGTTCAAGCTCTGGGCTTGGAGAACGCAGCTCCAAAAGCAATTAAGAATATGATGGGCGTTTCATACGTAACGGTAGGTACACATGGCCAATGATTGTACTTGAGTAGCTGATGTGTTGTTGATGAAGACCGATCACATCAAAAGTCACTTGCAGAAATATCGGATGCAAATGAAGAAATCTGATGACATCATCTCATCTTCGTCTGCTATAGTCAGTCGTGAACAAGAGGCAGAAAAGAAGACAAAGAAGAGAAAGAATCAAACAAAATCTGGAAAGGACAACACAAAACAACCAAAAACTAGTGAGGACAAAAAAAGTGTCGAATCGATTGAACCAGCCCAAAATATTACATCTTGTTCAGCATCCAGTACAGGACAAAGTAGTAGCAATTCTATAGGATTTAATAATTGGATGCAAGCATCAAACAGTGGATCTAGTTCATCAACAACTACGATACCTTTTACCATAGGAGTCGAGCAACATATTTCAGAGAAAGAGAACGAACAACAGCACAATGAGGCTAGTAACAGCAATTTTTCCTTCCTTAAAAAAGTTTTTACTCATAGTGCTGAGTCTTTTCTGTTTGACAACACAAACAGCCAATCTAGTTTTTTAATTCCTTCACTTTCAAATTTAGCAGCAGAGGAATTAACCAGCAACCACTTGTCAGTTTTTGCTGACTCCAACGCGAAGGATAATTTGAATTTATCTAGCCATTCTCTTGGGTTCAACACCCAAAGTGAAAAAGAGTTTGTGACCTCTTCGATCAAAGAGTCTGAGAAAAATCAATGCAGACAAGGAGGACACCAAACAATGCCACAACAGACAAATCAAAATCATAACGGCGATCATGCTGGTCAGAATGTTCAAACAACACAGGCAACTTCGTTTTTGGAACAATATTCGTCGCTGCTTTTTGATATGTGTCGAACGGATGAGGAAATACGTCAATTGTTTCTTGAGGCGAAACATTTAGCTAAATCAGACGATCATTTCATATTCATTTTGCATGGATATAGATTAGGAGTTTTGTCAGGATTGCGAATGGCCAAACAGCAACACAAATAAGACCACGCAACACTCTTTTCCAATAAAAAAATGGCAACAATTTCAGGCGTCATTGTAACAGGTCAGTTGATCAACCTATCATTAACAAATAATAAATATTAAGTTTCGATGCAGGCAGCACGGGTTTCATTGGGAGGCATTTGACCCGTTTCTTGTTGGAAAAGAATTATTTGGTAATTGCTACAAGTAGAAGTATCAATTCTTCCCTTTCGTTAGAGCGACCCGAGACAGACTGTAATAGACTTGTCCATCATTTTGGCTGCAAGATGGATCAACTTGATTCTCTTCATGATTTATTTGAGCACCACAAAAACGACAGCCAAGCCGTTGTTCATTTAGCTGCAATGATGGATTTCCATCCTCTCAACAGCTGTTCCAGCAATGGGACCTCTTTAATTGAAAGAATGAGATCCGTCAACATAGAAGGAAGCAAACAAATATTTAAGGAGTTTCTCAATAGCCCCGAAAAGAAGGTTTTTATTTTTGCATCATCGCAAGGTATGTTCACCAACACTCCCTTGTGATTTAATAACCTTTATTTCAGCGGCCATGGGACCTTCTGAAGGAAGTATTCCAATGGATGAAACGTCTCGGTGTCACCCAGTGTTTGAATATGGAAAATCAAAACTCGAGGCAGAAAAGGCACTCGAACAAATGTTGGATGAATATCAAAAAAATCCCTCACAGGGGCCAAAGCATTTGTACATTTTAAGATTTACAGGAGTAACAGGATTAGGAGACAGATATGCTGCCTTTGAAATGATTCAAGCTTCTTCTTTTGGGTATGTGAAATGATTCTGAAAAACAAAAAAACGTAACAAACCCATTTACTGATCAATATAGCGTCAATTCAGTGGCATATCCAGGTAATTGCGAAAAAGGGCTTATTTCGTTTGTTCACATTAATGACGTTTGCAGGGCTGTCGAGTTGTGTTTTCAATACAGCGAAACAAAGAGTGAGGAAACATTTTCAGAGCTTTTTATTATTGGACCAAAAGAATCGTCTACTGTTAGACGTATTTTAGACGTTTGTTGTGTACAAACTGGATGGCCAACTCCTTTGTTTTCTATTCCTCTTCCTGTGTTCAGGTTTATGGTTGGCTTGTTGAGCCCTGTGATTAATTGGGCTAGATGGATGATTTTTGGAATTCAAAGGGCCTCGTTTCTCTTTGCTTCTGATACAATCGGTATGTTGGTTTGCTTTGAGTTTATTGGTTCATCCCTGAGTTTCAGATTGTATGGAACAAAACAACGCCTATTCTTCTCAAAAGGCCATTTCAAAGCTTGGATATAATCCTTTGACATGCGAAGAGGCCTTTATCAAAAGTATTAAGGAACACATGCAATCGGGTGCAATTCCACACTACGAAACGGTAAGAAATGTTCGCAAGGGATTGCTTGTTGGTTCAGTTATCTCCATTTCATTTTGTGTTATAGGATTTTTGTATTTGAAGAACAAAGGCATTGATTGAACATTAAACTGATATCTCGTTCAAGTAAATATACTTCTTTCGCATTTCAAAACTAAGATTGTGGTTGTTATACATTTGATTCAATGAGCATAATCCAGTAATAAATGTTCTAATTTCTCTCGATTTGTCTCCTTCAAGAAATTTAGTCTTCTTAGAATGTCTGGTCATGATTGCATGTTGATAAGTTTCTTTTTGTTGAGCGAGTTCAGACATTAACATTTCCTTAGCCCTTCTCAACACTTGTCGTGTGGAGTCAAGAGGATGGGACTTACAGTGGAACCAAAGAGGTCCATAGTTAGGATCAGCATTTACACACATATTTTCAATGTGCTCTTGGGCCTCATTGCTGTTCGTGGTAGAGACAGGAGCAGCGGCACTGTTTGGAATCGAAGGGCCTCTAGTCAGTAATTCTAATCTCAAGTACTCAATAAAACTGTCTCCATATTGAGGAGTAAACTTGATCGCAAAGTCAAGGCACCTTTTTGCCTTCTCTAAAGAGAACTTGGGTGATAAAGGATTAAGAGCGATACGGGCTCCTTCACACCACACTTCGCCACTTTTTGGAACCTCTTCAAGAGCTTCCTTAAATACACGACAACATTCAACAATATTTCCCTTCATGTGATGTAGTTGGATTAGGATGGCCCACAGACGACCTGTTCCTCTGTGAATTTGCAAAGCTTCCAAAGCTTCACAGGTTGCTTGTTCGATATTTCCAGCTCTCATTTCAAGAAGAATACTTTCCAAAAATACTTTCCATTCGTGTTTTGCTTCTTGTTTTGCACGATTCAAAAAATCACGAGCCTTGTCAAGATGATTACAAAATTCTTCTAATCTTGCACATTCAATCAGTACTACAGCTTTGGTCTTGCTTGGAACTTCCTGCAAAGCTCTATTCAAAAGCATGCGAGAAATTTCAATATTCCCAGCATTTAGCTCTGTTCTCGATCCAGCAAGCCAAACCTTCCAACGTAAATTTTCGAGAGCCTTGATTGCACTCTTGCTGTAGGCTTTTCGTGAGAGCTGTAAATGACTTGCACGTTCCTCAAATTGAGCAAGTTCAAAGTACACTTTCCACTTGAGTTCCTTACTAATGCTTTTTGCAGCTCTAGAAATACATTGACGAACCTCTGTCAGGCATTGTTCCTTACTTTCCATGTCAACTGCTCTATCAAGTTTTCTTTCATACAGTCGTAGTGCCGCAAACCAAAGAGGCCCATAACGAGGATTGGCAATAAGACCTTGTTCGACAATATTGAGAGCTTGATCGAATTGTTCACACTTTTCCTCAAGCTTGTACGCTTCGTAGTAGATCGGGCCATGACGATGAACATTCTTCATGAGGTATTTAAATACTTTTCGAGCAACGTTAACGTTGCCTGCACGAGATTCAAGCAATGCTCCTTCCAAAAGAATCTTCCAGCATGTTTCTGGCTTTTGTCCCTTTAGTCTACCTAATATACTTCTGGAAGTCTGCAAGTCATCGTTTTGCTCGAAATGCTTGATGGCTTTTATGAGAAGAGATTCGTTGTGTTTGCACTTGTCCAATCCTTCCAAGAGCAACCGTCCACATTTCTCATTGTTACCACTTTCTTCCTCAAGTTTAGCATATTCAAGCCATCCTTGGCTTGCATTTGGTTGCATTTTGTTTACAGTACAAAATTCTAAACGAGCTTGTTCAAGAAGGTTTTCTCTTTTTGCCAAATCAGCTAATTCCATGTGAACTCTCCAATGCATGTGTCTTTCGAGTGAACATTTAGGATCATTTAGGTAATTCATGGTTAAACTCTTAGCTCGTTCATACCCCAGTGGCTCGTAATTCTTAAGCAAATTTTGGAATTCTTTAAGGGCAACTTTGTCGTCACTAGATTCCTTCTTGGAAGGCGAAGTTGGACCATTATTGCCCTCTGCTCCGATATCGGTGGTATTGTGAACCAAATTTAAGTTAAGGTTGAGAGAGGCGGGATTTTGGATTGTGCTGTTAGAACCCATTCTTCGATGTTTTGATGGAGAGTTCGGAACGCTACTGTATCCATTCGGGTGGACATTGATTGATGGATTTTGAATTGCCTTTTCATAGGGCTCATGCCAATTTCCTTCGGTGATAAGGTCCACTTGGTCAGATGAACTAGCTCTTGTGTGGGCAAACCCTTGCTTCGAAGAAAATGAAATGGAGCAGTTGTTGGTCATGTTCGGTGGGTATGTGACCTCTATGTCATTTACAGCTTGGAGAGGAACAGTAGAAACTGTGAGAGAGGTTTGCAATGACTTGGATAGACTATCAACTGTTGAATCATTACGAGAAAGCCAAGATAGGGAAGAAAGGGGCTCTTGTGATTGGACATGAATGGTTTGATTCACATGGGACGGCGTTGGTTGTTTGTTGAAAAAAGATTCCAGCTGTTGTGATTCATTCGAATGGGTTTCAATGTGTCCTTGGTGGTTACCATCTAAACATTTGGAATCATCTTGGACACAGTAGGAATTGCTGAATTGGAGGGGTTGAGCCATGTTGGAGTAGGTGCTCAGTTGAGGCGTGTGAAGAGACAAGCTAAAGGCTTGGGTGTTTTGTGACGTTATATTTCCTGAAATGTGAGTATGGTAAAACCCATTCACCTTTTCATTCCATGGATCATACCGATTATACAATTGCATGTTGTTTTGGGAGGATGCAGCAATTTGAGAATTTGCATAAGAAAAGAAGGAATGCGACAAAGACGAGGAGGTACCGTTAAATCCACTGTTCAAATCCAATTCTCTGCATTGTGTTGTTCCATCTGAAATGCACGAGGGGTTACCAATTCTATTCAGAGAATGGCACAAGGATTTTTGAGAGGAAGGCAAACCTAGCTCATCTTTGATGCAGCTCGGAATTAATGGAAGTGACTGTATCTGATGAGATAAAGGGGGTAAACAGTGTGCATAACACTGATCCCAAACATGGTTGTTGTTCGCTGCCACAAGAGATTTATGTGATGATTGAAACGATGTTGTTTGCAACGGAATGGTTCTGTCTGATCGGGTGCTACCTGCAACGTTTGTATCGTGTTTTGTTGGCTGTTTGAAAGTACCAGAATTTTGTTTCTTTGAAGATGTTTTGCTGTTACCGACAGCCGTTACTTCGACCTTATGGTTTGTCTCTGAATAAACTATGTGATGGAATGCTTTATCGCTTGAAGGCATTTTTTGTTTGAAAAATTGTATTTTTGAAAATATTTAATTTTTTTTAATAAACGAAACAACGTTTTTAACGGTCATACAAATTAATTTTTAGAAATTCGTGTGTTTAATAGAAAGAAAGGCCTTCTATTGTTATTCACTCAAACAATCGAAGCCACTGCAGAAATACAAAAAAAGAATCGCAACAGTGGCAACGACAACACAAACACAAATAATAGATGCCTTGCACCAGCTTGAGATGACTGATCTTTTCAATTCATGTGTTTTCCTTTTAAATTCTTCGGCCCTTACAACCAACTCGTCCGTCTTTCCTACGAGAATATCAATTCGTTCACCTCTCTCAATAACTTTATCAATATTGGTAATCATTATGTTTTGAATTTCTTGAATTTGATTTTTGATTTTTCGGAGCTTATTGGCCTCCAGATCATTGTTGAAATAGTTCATCTTGCTCTTAAGAAATGGTTTGAAAGACTTGTTCATAGCATAATTGTGTGTGGTTGTTTTCCCAGAGTCACTGTACAACCTAAACCATCTTTTTCCGATCAGTAAACTGATCATAAATGCTTTATTGCACTTACTCCTCTTTAATATTCTGAATAAATTTAAAGCATTGTGCCATACTGAAGGACCTATCACTCATGCACATGAATGTAATTTCATCGGAAACCTCAAATGAAAAATTGTAAGAGTCATATGAATAAATCATCTTTGAATTAAGAGGAGGAATTTTCTCTAAAATTTTTAACGAAACTCTTTGGAAGTTACCATATTTTACCAAAGGGTTTGTGAACTCTGCTAGTACTAGAAGATCGTTAAAAGAGGTTCTTCAATGTCATTCTACCCCAACGTACCCTTATTCCCTTTTGCCACAACACAGTACAAGATACAGCCATCATCGCTCATTTTTTGCTCTAAAAATGACCGATCCCACTTGGGGTCAATCAAACTTTCAATAAAATTGTTTGCTCTAAAAAAAATGAGTTCCTATGCGGGTGATGAAGTCGGAGCGATTGTGGTGGATGTTGGATCTCACACCACAAAGGCCGGATTTGCTGGAGAAGAGAACCCAAAAGCTGTTGTTCCTTCGGTATGTTATTATTTGTTGTCTCTGATCACCACTAATCACCACTATTTACAAAATGAGCAATAGGTTGCTGGTGTAGTTTATGAGAAGGAGGACAAATCAAAGGTCTCCAATTATTATTTGGGATTGAAGGAAATATCATTTGCAAGACCACACATGGAGATTGAAAACATTTTTGATCCCGAATCCGGTGAGAGTAGGTGATGATATTGTTGATAATCATTTACTAACAACCTAATTCAAAAGTTTGCAATCTAGATTATATGGAACGATTGTTAAATTATATTTACGACGAAAGACTTGGAGTTCGAACAAATGAACATCCTCTTTTAATGACAGAAGTACCAACAAGTTCTTCTCAAAATAGAGAAAAACTCACATCGTTGATTTTTGAAACATTTAATGCGCCTAATTTTTTCTTATCCAAACAACCAGTCCTAAGTTGCTTTGCAAATGGAAAGTACACTGCTCTTGTTGTTGATAGTGGCCATAATTTTACCACTGTCACTCCGGTTCTTGATGGATATGCTTTGCAAAGATCTGTTATCAAAACAAACAAAATCGGAGGAAAGGCTTTAGATGATGAATTAAGAAAATTAATTGTCTCTAAAAGAAATGGTAAAGATATTCTAGCACCTCATCAATTTACAAAGCAGAGAAACACTCCACTCCCCAGCTCAAAATCAGCTAAAATTATTGAATCTGAAATCCCAGGTCTCACTATGTCATTTAATGAATACTTTAAAAATAGAATTGTTAGTGATATCAAGATTAGTTTGTTGCGTGTTGCTGAGAGGAACACTCAAAATAACACTTCCATTCCAATTGTATCTTATGAAATGAATGACGGAATAGAAATAGAGATTGGAAATGAAAGAGAGTCAATTTGCGAGTTGTTATTTAACGAAGAATACGGAATTCACAAACTGAGCTACGAATCGATTAATAAGTGCGATGTTGATCTTAGAAAAGAATTGTATTCAAATATTATTTTGACTGGAGGAACCACCCTTATTCCAAACCTTCCATCCAGATATGAAATTGAATTATCTAGAATCGCTCCAAGTAATGCAAAGGTGAAGCCACCTTTGAACACAAAGCAACATTCTACAACAACATCTAATCCATCAGGCTCTAATCAAACAGCTCTTGCTCATTTACAAGAAAGAAAATATACTTCTTTCATTGGAGGTTCAATTCTTGCCAGTTTAGGAGGTTTTCAGCAAATGTGGATTTCGAAATCAGAATTCGATGAGACTGGAGCTGCTCAGTGTTTGCTTAGAAAATGTCCATAAATGTTATTATTGAAATATATTTTTAAACATATTTTTCATGTTTTGATTGTATTCAGTCTCCAATTTGCGACACTTGTTCAACTCCGATTCAATAAGATTTGACATTTGCTTGTACAGTTCAACTGAATCGGTGGTGTTTGTCTTTGCTGAGCCAGTAATTATCTTACTAATAATTGCAATGTTGTCGTTTGGGCTTATGGTGGACAAGAGTTGTTGTGCTTGCTTGAAATCTTGTATGGCCAAAGAAAAGTTTCCCTCGCTCATGTGAGCCTCTGCTCTCTTGAAATAGCTTTTTACATTGGCTCCAATGTTTTCAATGCATTCCGTACTGAATTTCACAACATTGCCATATCTTTTCAGTTTCATTTCACATGTTAACAAGTTGTTAAATAATGTTATAAGAAGGTCTCTTATCTTTCTATCTTCCTCATCCCATTTACTTTTATCAATTTTTCTTAGCAATTTAATTCCTTTTCTATAACACCTTGATGAGGAAATATACTTTCCTTGAGAAAAGAATATATTCCCTTCCTCCTTTTTAGAAAGGGTTAGATTGTACAATTCTGTTTCGTTCATATCCCAGTCTGTATTGGAAATATTGTTCGTTTGGATAATTTTCAATAATTGAAGTTTTATAGAATATCTAATGGCATCTTTTTCGGACTCAAATTCAGTCGACTCTCCGACTGTCAAGCCAATTAATTTCTCTTCAATTTCTTTAAATTGAGTTTGTTGTTTTCCAATTACAATTAGAAGGGGCTTGTCTATCTCGAATGAGTCTTCTATCGTTTCCCATTCGGAACGATCTTGTGTTAGAGCAGAAATTCTGTAATGAAACAAAACTGAGTCTCCGACTTTGATGGAAGAAGGAGAATGACTCCCAGTGGAGTGAGAAAGAGGAGATTGAAGCATTTTTTGCACTTGAATTTCAAGGCAATCAAACTCCTGTACAGAACTTTCCGACTGATCGTTCAACCAAGCAAAACACGTTGTGCTGTATCATCAAGAGTTTCAAAATATTCTTTACATTCATTAATTTCATCATTCCATCCTCAAAACTTAATAAAAAATGAGCAACACAAAGAAAACAGGAGATGTTGATATTAAAGTCGTCATGCTGGGTATGGAGGAAAATTGTGCTGGTTTATTTCTGATTGGTTTTATCAATTTAATTTTTTGATCATCATTTGTGGTCCGAATATTTGATGGTGAAGGCGATAGTGGTGTCGGAAAGGCAAGTACATGCTCTAAATTTAGTTTCCATCTTCAAACATTTAATATGTAGACGAGCTTGGTAGGTTGATTCAATTCAATAATGAATGATTAATCTTTTGTTTCAAGCTGGTCCGATTTCTGGACAACACGTTCGGAAATACTAGATCAACGATAGGAGCATCCTTTTTCAAGGTTTGTATTTCATGCCGACATAAAGTGGTTGTCATTTACAAAATTAGAAATCAATCCCAAGCAAAACTGGAAAAGGATCCATAGAGCTTGGTCTCTGGGATACAGGTAAGCTGCTAATATTTATGAGTACTTTTGCTCACCACATTAGCTGGTCAGGTAAGTTTGCATTTTACAATTTGAAATTTGGGGACTGACATCCATCTTAAGGAGAGATATGACTCTCTGAGGTACGTGTTGTTAGCAAGTTAAATTATTTCAAATATATATTTGCCCAGCTCTTTTTACTGTCGGCACACGAACGTAGCCTTGATTTGCTATAATGTTACAGATGAATCCACATTTCACAACATTCAAAAATGGTATCACAAACTTGAGACCAGTGTACCAGCAGAGGATTGTTTTGTTATTTTGGTTGGAACTAAATCAGACTTGGGCAAACCTGTAATTACAGAAAAAAAGTGGAAGATTTGATCTCTAACAACAGATTAATTTACAAACATTTTGTGACAAGCGCTAAAGACGGAACCAATGTCAGCACTATTTTTGATACCATTGCAGAAGAATATGAACGTAGAAAAGCTACTAACCAGAACAGGCGATCATCTATTGGTATGGTTCCCATTTCGCAGCTGCAAACAAACAGTGATACTTCCCTCAAGAAAGGTTGTTGTGGATGAAGTAGTTGATGTTGTCTTTATTCATGTGTAGAAAATGTAAAAGTTTGATAAATTAGTGTTTGCTATTGGACATTAATCCGTGTTTTTCACAGAGAGATTTACAATGTGAGCATACAAATCGCTCCAAGTCAATCTTGTCTTTCATAAAAGAAACATGCTCGTCACAAACACTGTACGGACAAGTAAAGCACTTCTTTACAACAGATGAGCTGTTGCATTCAGAGCAGAAGTGTTGTGGACAAACCCAATCGCCTGAAGGTATCTCTGTTAGGCCAACGCATTCCAGATGGTATACTTTTGTACAGCATTTAAAGTCACAACAAATCAGCTCTCCACCATTCTTGCATATAAAACATTCATCTTCGTGAACCTTTGTTTCTTCTTTTGCTTCAAGCCTGGAAAGATACACAGAGAAAAGGTCTTTGGAAGAGAGTTCAGTCAAACCAATATCTTGATCCTTCACGTACTCTCGTTTATCCTTCTTTTTCTTTCTTGGAGTTGAGATGGACACATTTTCTTCATCATTTGCAATCCCTGATAAGACCTTGAAGGGTAAGTGTTGTATGAGACGTCTTGGCTTTCGCTTAGCAATAACTTCCTCCTCTGTCTGTCTGTTCTTTTCGTTTGTCATATGTTTTTTTCTTTTCTTTTTCGTTGAGTCCTTGATTTCATGTGATTCAGGATTCGAATTTGTTGTCACATCAAAAGATTTAGAGGAAGAAGATGTATATATAGATACACTGTCATCTTGGTCTTCATGATCAACGGTCGAACTGCTAGTAGTTGCTTTCCAAGCAGTTAGCCCAAATAATCCAGATCCAAATAATGAAAATGTCGAAGCATTCTTCTTTTTCTTAATTTCCTGATACATCATTGCTGCAACAGTTCTTTCAGGCGTTTTGCCAGCACTTTTCACTAATTTCCTTTCAAAAATTAGTTTTGTTAAATCAGTGGCGGTGAGAGGCTTATTCACCTCTGAAAGAACGATCACACTTGCATCTCTGAAGCTATGGTACTTTTGTGATGAGTCTTCATTCAAAGAGAGTACTGTTGTTGGTTTGGTCTTCCTCTTTCTCTCCTTTTTTTTGTCTCTTTTTTCCTCTTCACTTTCAGAAGATGACGATTCTGTACTTTCACACTTTTCAAAAGTTTTAAAGTCTTTGTAAGGTTGTACTGGGATTAATGAATCATGGTGTTGTGTTGTTGAATTATTCTCCAACTCGTTGCGCTGTGAAGAATTTTGGCTGACAATAACATGATCATCATTAGACAAAGCTGATGGTGATGATGCAAGATTGTCATGACAATCGACTACCATTACACTGTCTACTGAGAAACGCTTATTGTTGATGTTATTGGATAACATCTCTGTGGTCCTTCTTGTTGATCGATTCTTGTTACTGGATCGTGAGTGAATTTGAGGATGATGATTTGAAAGAGATTCCACTGCTGCATCACAATTTTGTGAAGTTGTATGGATGTCATCCGATGTGTTACAAGAATGTTGAGAGTGGCCACAATGAGATGACATGGAAGAATGATACAATTGTTGTGATAACATGGATGATGAATGATCGCCACTGTTTAAAGCAACGCTTCTTGTGTCTGAACTGAACTTTTTACAAAGGGTATGATGATCATCACGGATCATGTTGTATGGAGAGGATGTTGTTGTGTTTGGACAACTATTTGTGCTACTGCTCGGAGAGTTACTTTGCAATTCATTGGAGGATATGGATGTTCCATCATGATGATGAAGGCTGTGATGACGAACAGTATTTTCTTGATCATTACATCCTTGATGAAGTACAAGATGAACTTTTGGATCACAGTGATCGTTGTTTAACAAGAACTCATCATCATCATCGTCGGAATACAATCTATTACTAATGCCCATCACATGCTCTACGTTGTGTACAGGATGAACCGATGGGATATGTCTACGTGTAAAATCTTCAAAATCTCTGGTCATGCCGTTGCAGTTCAAGATGAAGAGTATTTGATCAATGTTGTTATTATTATCAACGCTACGAATTGAGAAGGTTGCAGCGGTTTGATTCTTTTGGTATGATTCTTTCATCCCAACAGAGGAAGAATTTAATTGATCACTGGTTCTTTCGGCGATAACATTGAACAACCGAACTTGGTCAAGCATACTTGGATCGGAGGAGTGCATCACGCTTTAGAATTTTTTGCGTTATTTTTTGCGGTTTTAGCTCGGAACTTGGATGTATTGAGGTAATTTAACCACTACAAATTACCTCTAGAAAATGATCGACGGATTGGATCGGATTGCTCCAGCGATTATTTTTGAACTTTCTATAGACAATATCGTCGAAGATAGCATTTGTTTGATCTTTTGTTTTGATTGAAACGGTTCTATTTGTTGAGGATCTGTGATGGGTTGGTTATTCTTTTCTTGGAATGCAATATGACCTTTTTTCCTTTCTAATATATTCGATTTGTTGTTTTGTTCTTGTTTGAGAAGTCTTGGAATTTATTGAGCTAGATATATCTGTCTGGTTGGATGTTTGTTGAGACGAATTGGTGGTTGCTGAAGATGGAGCAATGCTTTTTTGATGTTTTGTATTTTCTAATGTAATGCTTGACAAGGACATAGTTGTTGAAATTGATGGCAACAAGTCGAGCTTTTGAGAGGGCTCGATGAAGAAGCATCAACATCAATATCAGCATCAATTTCTTCATTCGGGATTGAATGGTTCTTATTAACGAATATGCAGAAAATTTTTTGAGCTTGAAAATATTTTTCATTGCTGAATCAGGACCAAGACCGGTAAAATCTCGAGCCTGATCCGTGATCAAGATTTCAATTCAAAAAAATTTTCAGCGCGAAATGATGGACTTTTCATAATGACACATGTAGCCAGAATATATCAAGTCGTGGTTGAAAACAATCACAAACATATGAAAACTGAAGCCTTGAATGGCTTTTGTTTGATCTGTCCAAAAGTAACTTGTTTCAACACAATTTTGCCAGCTTACAGAAGAAAATTGGTGGACAGTCTATTTATTCGCCAGATCTTTTTTCTTTTTGAAATCACGTTTTTTCTTTTGCAAAGTAGAGCGTACTTGAAACACGTTTTCGATGGCTTGCTTAAAGATGTCAAAGTTGTAATTGATGAGACCAACTTTCTCATAGCTATCTTTTGTAAGCAAACAAACCAATGCAAGATATTTGTTAACTTCTCTCAAATAAAGAACACTTCCGTTGTTCAATTTGATCACAGCACCAGTTTCTTCATCATAGGCGCCAGTTGTTCCTTCTCCTCCATTCACTCTGTTTCCATAGATGCAACTTATGTCGATCACAACATCTATCATATCGCTACACAGTTCGTATGTAGTATTGTCAACAGGTGTAGCATCAGTAGCAATATAGATTTTAGAAACCACATCAAAAAGAAAAGCCTTTTCCAACCGTGAGTTTGTCACAAGCAGGTCTAATAAATTCTCTAATGTTGGTAATTGAGGAATTAACTTTTGAATAACCTTACTAAAGGCCTCAAATATTGAATGGTCATAAATGCTTGTCATGTGAAATCTGGTCTTAACGTTTGGAGATACTTTAATATCTGAATCATTCAATTCATCTGACAACCTTTGTTGAATGTCCTGTTGAATTTGAATTTTGTGATCGTCACTGATTCCATCCATTTTGTGAATGAATATTTCAAATGCAATTTGATCGTTGACCTTGCTGGCTTGTTGAATTGTTTCAGCTAACTTTGTTATACTGTCCAAATAATTATCTTGGGCATCAATGACATATACAATGGCTCCACATCCGGTGAAAATTAATTCACATTCAAAATTCTGAGTGTCCCCAAATAGGTCTATCTGACCTGGAAAATCCCAAATTTGGAATTGAACAAAGGTGTTGTTTGAAATATCGTTCTTCACAATTTTGTTAGTTGACTCTAAGAAAAGTGTTTCGTGTGGAGACATTTTCTGAAATACGACTTTCTGAATGGAACTCTTACCACTCCTTCTAAGACCCATCAACAAAATACGAGGCTTGTCGTCTTCAAGAGAGCCGTTGTTCTGACTAACGGACTTTCTGAAGCTGGTGCTAATTTTTTGGAAATTTGGTGTATGAGCACCAACACCAACACTCCCAATAACAGCATTGTGACTTCCGAGCATTCCTTCTTGTTTCTTGGCTGAGGTATTGGGAGTTTGTTGTTTTTCAATATTTTCAAGAAGATGAGAAGGCTCTTGACCATAACTCCCACCAACAAACTCATCATCGTATCCATAATCATCCCCAATATTTTGATCAAAATCTTGCTCCGACAAATCATCGTAATGGTCTTCAACTTCGTCCGACAAATCAAAATTGAATTGATGAGCCATTGAATTTTTTGCTGGTAATATTTTTTTGTTGATGCGTAAAGGACTAAGAGCAGAAACCTGCTACCACGATAGGCATATGCAAGCGTAAGGCACATTTACAAAACATAAATGTGAACTTGTAAATAGAATTATTGTTTCAAATACTACCACATTAAATACAGAAAATGTCAACTCCAAACCAATTTCTCTGATTTCAGAACAAAATGGAATAGGGACACCATTTGTGGTCGTTGATAATAAGATAACAAACATGTCGCCCACAGATGCAAACACCACAGCAGAACTATTTTTGGATGAATTTTTTAAATTAGGAGGTTGTGTGTCGCATTTATTGGCTCACAAAAACATGAGACAGTATGTTCGAGATTTAAGATCAGCCAATTATCTTAGAGGATACAGAAGAGGCGTTAAGGGAATTTTGAAAAAACTATAAAAAAAAATCAAGATTGGAACAGCACAATTAGAGGGAACTAATCTCTCTCGAAATCAAATTAAGGTTTTGCAAAGAGTATTGTTTGAGGAAAATAATGACGAAATTCAGTCAAGGAAAAAGTTGAATCAGTCCATGAAAAAGATTCATTCAAAAATAGAGTCACAGTCAGAAAAAATTGCACTGAATTTATTTGGATTTTGTTTGAATACACTTGGCAAGTCAACAACAGACATAGAAAAAGCTCTAAAGGATATCTCGAACTACAATGATGTCAGTAATGGTCAAATCTCGTTTTACCAAGAAAGAAAGGACATAATTGAAAAACATTTGAACAAATTTGAATCAATTTGGGGAAATATTGGAGAATCTCTTTTGAAACAATTTCAAATATCAATTTCAAAAGGATCCATTGCTTATAATATTAGAGGACTGTTTCACAAATATGGATTCAACATCATATCACCTTCTAGACTAAGAGGAAAGAAGCATGTGTGTTGTGGTGTGAGTGCAAATTTGGTGTTTGATATTTCTAATATGAGAAAGGAAAGTTTACAACAAATACCTACTCCAAAAACAATGGTGAAGGACAATGGGAAGATATTGGGTGCAGAACTTGACATGTTGGAGCATTTTAATTACATTTTAAAACATTGCATTATGCAAGGTTGTTTCACCAACGAAGCCTTGGAACAAGCAAAAAAGGAGCCTTTGGAATGTTGTGCTTCTTGGTGGGGTGATTCTACTGGAAACATGGGGCACAATAGTTCAATGTTTTGTGGCAGTATTGGATTATTACATAACAAAAGCTCTTTCTTCAAACAAGATACGAAATCACAACAGATCGTAAATCAACGACATATTTCTCTAATGGGATACTTCAAAGACTCAAGCAAACACTTTGTTGATGTTTTGAAAAAAGTTGGAGAAAGCTTTTTTAAGCTTGGTACGAACATGTTAACAGTACAACATAATGGAGAAAATTATTTCTTTAATGTAAAGATCACAAAGATCAAAGGAGACGCTCCATTCTTGCAAAAAGTTCTGAATAACAAGCAGGGAGGATATCAAGCATGTTTTCTCTGTGATGACCATAAGGAACATTGGTCCACCTCTCACTTCTTGCATGGAATGGCTAAAACATTGTGGGGAGTATGCAACAATCTTAAACAAGCTGGAATTGTAGGATTTCCTCATATAATGAAAGCTTTTGAAAAGAATTGGTAAAGAAAGTTTTTGAAAAGATTGAAATTGTGATAGATTCTTTGCATTTAGTGAAAAACTTGTTCGAAAATGTTAGAGAATTTGTTTTGCAATTTTTGAGAAACAAGCAATGTGGTGCTTGTGCAGATGAAATTATTGAAAAGGAAAAAGAAAACTTGAATGGTGGTGACATAGGTAAACTCAAGAAGGTGAGATATTATCGGTCAGTGTTGAGTTGTGTTGATGTTGTGTATATTGTTCCCTTACAAAAACTGATAGAAAATTTGAGAGAAAATCAACCACAGTTGAAGCAGCAAATTGAAGATTTGATTTCAATCATGAACTCTATTGCAGAAATTGTGTTCGTCATGTATAAGCGGATATTTGTGAAAAAGACATTTTACGGTTTTGGGTGAACACATTCAATATGTTTCATATGTTAAAATCATTAGGTTATATCATGAAAACTTATGATCATATCACATTCAATCATGCAGGCTCCTTCATTGAATCCAAAACACAATTTGAAAATACTAATGAGCAAGATGAATGTTTGTTCAAACTCATCAGAAAAGTAATGCATTTGTTTAGTGGTCGTCAAGTGTATTCCAACAAGGAAAAAGAAGACATGTTTGATGCAATCCAAGATATTGACAATGCTAATGACATTACTGAAAAATGGAAATTAATCCCCAAACATTTTGAATTAGTGTGGAGACGAGCTTTTGCAAATAGAACTCTCCAACAACAATTCGGAAGAGATCACCATTCTAATAACAATACCTTGAACAAGAAATGGAAACTCCACAAATATCAAAATTTAACAATCAAAAAATCCATAATGATCAACTTCGACGTCAATAGAAAATGGGGAAAATTTTGTTACAAAATATCTCCCGTAATTAATGCACTTGCTGAAAAGAGAGAAATCAATGTGGTTAAATCTAATGAATGTGTGGAATTTAGAATATTAATGAAACACTCTAATGAAGATTTAGAGTATGTGAATCATTCAGAACTCGGTAATGAGATCCATTCCACAATCACAAATCAACAGTTGAAAGACTTGGGAGTCATTCAACTTAATACTGACCACTCCTCAAACACGACAAATGATCCTAAATACAATGTGTTGAAGCAAAGTCTCAAAATGCTTGATGGTGCTGTACTTACTAAAATTCTGAAAAAGATATGCATTGATGCATGAAATTCAATCAAATCAAAGAAAAAAACACCACCAAATAGTACGAAAAGAAACAAAATTATTGACACTGTCAAAAAAGTCCCTTCTGTCTTGGCATCCCTAGAAACAAATTTTCCTGAATTGCTTCTGAACAGTAGTCAAGAATCAATCACAAGTTCCAGGAGGCGGAACGAAACAATCGATTCCAATGCTCGAGGAAGGAAAAAGCGAAATCAACCACAAAATGAAACTCAAAATGAACGCAATATCTCCCAATTCAATACTTCATCATCAGAAATTCTGATAGAAGGAACTATTGATCAAGTGTGGTATGAATCATCAAATACGTTCTCCACATCTCCGATCGGAATGTCTTCTTCACTCCCTGTGTTAGATGTTCTCCTTTCAAGGTCTTCAAACATTGATTACACGCCTCTGTGCAACACCACAATTCAGCCCGGAGTAATACCAATATCACTATTTAATAATCCACATCACCCGAACAACACTTCCACAACAAAAAGGATTGGAAAGAAAGCAAATTGCCAGTTCTTCGCCGAGATGGCACAACAACCGAATGCTACAACGAGATAATTTTTTTTTTGAGAACCACAACGTGTGATCAACCTGGAATCATTTGGAAAGTATCGACCGACGCAACTCTATGATGTTTGCAGAGCGATCAAAGAACGCATCGGTGACAGGAGACACTAAATTAAAGACGGGATTTTGAGAGAGAAGTCTCCCAGCAAGAAGCCTCCCAGCAGAAAGAGGCAAAGGGAAACCTTCGGTTACCACAGCGTAAGCCTACTGTGTAGTTGGTGTTTGTCATACTCCCTTCAGTAAAATGTTTCAGTAAAATGTGAAGCACAAAATACCGTCAGCATTTACTTCCGCATAAAAGCCCTCTCCATCTACAGCTGGAAAGAAGCAACCCATGAATATTCAAGGTGGACGTACATATATGGCAGACACTGTTGAAGCTTTTTAATTTGGATTGAATTTGTCTATTAATTGCTGACCATCGCATACAGCCTCAGCCTCATACCCAACATTCTTCAACAAGCGGTTAAGATTGATTGCATTGTCTTCTGCCAGTAGTATCGTAAAAAATAAATAGTGAAAGTTTATTAATGTCTCTTGTATCAATAACGACCTGAGAGACCATATTGCAGTATTATTTAGGGACACCGACCAGCATTTGGAGTGCTTGTGTTTAGATTGAGAGCCGTTGAATGAGACCGCTTTTCGGCGGATTGGTTTTTTGTTTGAGGGACGGTGATACCAATTTGAGTTTTTGTAAGGGCCCCGTTGTCAAACCTGCAGCCACAGCGAACAGCCAAAAAAGATGGCTGCCAGTTCCTGCTGACTTCCAGAACCCCTCAATTATTTCAAAATTTTTTTAAGGAGAACATATTTGTTTTCCGATAAATAATAAAATATTTTAGAATTAATTAATTTTTTAAGAATAAATTGATACAAAATAATATTCGCATATTTTTTGGTTTTATATATTATTTAAAAAAATTTTTGAACAATTTTGAATTTCATTTATGAATATATTGAAATATTTAATTTTAAAATTAGAATTAAATTGCTGAATGTTATAAAAAAATGAATAATTAAAATAAAAAAATTTATAAATACTAATTAAATAATTGTTGATATAAAATAATTTCTTATTGACAATATTAAAAAAAAAATTAAAAACACAAATAAAATTATATTTTGAATAACATGAAAATATTTTAAAAGCCAAAATAGAATTATCTGGAATTAATTTTGAAAAAAAATAAAAGAATTTCCCATAAAAATTTGTTTTTACAAAAAATGGTTTTAAATGAATATTTGAAATTGCCAATATTTTAAAAATATCAATATTACGCCAGAATTTAAAAAAATTTCTTTTTAAAAAATACATTGTTAGCCAAGAATATAAGTTCAACTGCCGATCTATTTGTTCAATCAGCAGTGCAAGTAGAATTTTTTACTTGATTTCGAAACAAATTTCATTTTTGTTCTATTTGATTTTCTTTTACTTTTTAGATTGACATCTTTTGAACGAAGTGAAGGGTATTAATGTAGAGGTGGTTGAAATTAATACAATGTTGCAATTAGATTGAATTAACGACGTGCAAAATTTCGTTCAATGTTTCGAAAGAGTAAACATTAAAATCGTTTGTTAATTTAAGGAAAGACTAACGGATTTGTGACGAGAGGAATTAGAGTTGTTTGGTAAATCAATTTGACAATTTGATATCTAAACCAATACAAAGGACGACAATTGTGTCGAAATGATGGACTTTTTATAAAGACACCAGTAGCCAGAATATATCAGCTCGTTCTAAGGTACCTTTTTCGCTGATCGGAATGTTCTTGTGGTAAGGAAGAACATTGTGAAAGTGCAGGCCCACCTTGATTCGAAACTTTTCGGAAAGGATTTACTGAGCTAACTATATATTTTTATTATTTAATTTTCATCTATTTAATTCATCATGTTATCATGATTTTCAAGGATTTATCAAGTTATTATAATTTTAATGGATTTATCAATTCGACCTTTATTAAGGTCGGTGTTTGGAGAGACCAGTTGTCTTTGTCAATTTTAAGCAATCAAGGATTCGAGAGCTCTCATTTGTTTCATCATGCCTTATTTAATAGGGTGATTAGCAATGTTGAGGAGGCAGCAAAATTCAAAAAAATTTTCTCAATACGCCAAATTTTTTCTCCTTCAACATGAGAACCCCAAGCAACAGCCAAACAAATTAAGGACATGTTGGATACCGTATTGATCAGCGTTATGTATAACTTAAAAGATACATACAGCAGATTTTCCATGACAGAGGAATATAGGCTTTACCAACAGAGCAAAGACAACATTAGCATGCTGGAAAATAATTTCTTGTAGGAAACCGCGCCTTTATCGATATTAAACAAGTAGCCGTTTAAAAAATATTTGCGCCAAAAACCAAGTGTTAAAAAATGTCTTCCAACCAAGACCCAAACGCTCTCAAGCGCAAGAGAGGAGTCGAGCAAGATACTTCATCAAAGAAGATAAAGGGTGTCGTGTTACCCAATGATACGGAAAATACCAATCCGAACCTGAAACCAAGCAAAATTCCAATTCCTAAGCATTCTCAAGGCACACTACTGAATTCTTCTTCTCTTTCAAACAACTCAAGTACATCATCACATATAAAGGGAAGCAACTCTACAAGCAATAGAACTAGTATGATCAGAGCAAATGCTACCTCCAGAATAACCACCAACCGAGCGAGCTCTACGCCAACCTCCAGAGTCTCACAGTACCAAAAATCGAGCAACACCTTGCTCAACAACACAAGGCAATCCATGTCAAGAACCTTGTCAGCTCCACAAAAAACAAAACAACAAAGCTTTCAAAAGCAAGAGCAAGAATCGACAAAACTTGAGCTGGATCAAACCAAATCAGAGCTATCGCAGGTATATGAAGAGAACAAGCACCTCAAGTCTAAAATTGATGAACAACTCCTTCAATTGAAGGATTTGGTTCAGCTCGAAGAAAAGACCAAATCGCTTGAAACTCTTTCGTTAAGGTATCAAGACGACACTGTCCAACTTAAATCGATTAATAAGTCTCAAGAGATTGAAATCCACGCTTTGAAAGGGTTACAAGAGAAGCTTCAAATTGATAACATTGACCTTAGAGTTAAAGTTAGCTCCCTTGAAAAAGAAATTGAAATAGAGAGGAAACAATCTGAAATGGATAAAGCGACTCTTAAGATACAATACGAAAGTGAAATTAGAATACAGAAAGAACATTATGAACAACAATTGCATGAAATTGCGGAAATTAAAGACAAGGAACACAATTCAACCAAGGAAAGACTAACAAAAGAAATTTCAAGAGTTAAAAGTGAGCTTGACCGCGTTCAATTCGAGCTTACTTGTTCGATCGAAGATGCAAACACAAAGAGTGAAAAAATTCGTGAGCTTGAGGAGAAGATCCAACAACAAATTCAGTACATCCAAAATCTAGAGAATAAGCGACATCAAGATGAGAGTGAAAGAAGACGACTGCATAATATTATTCAAGAGCTTAAAGGAAATATCAGAGTTTACTGCAGAGTCAAACCAGCTCAAGAAATGAAGTGTATTTCATATCCTGATGCAGATGTAGACGAAAGATGTATCAACATACAAGAAGACTCTAGAGTTACTGCAACAGGAGCAACAGCAGAAGGAAAGAAATATTATTTCCAATTTGATAAGGTTTTCAAGCCAAATTCTACACAAAAAGAAATCTTTTTGAGATTTCTCAGCTTGTACAGAGTGCACTCGACGGATTCAAAGTTTGTATTTTTGCTTATGGACAAACAGGTAGTGGTAAAACAGTAAGTATTCTTCCTGATTGTCTAAATGAATCATTACCTCTATGTAGTATACGATGGAGGGTCCTCCAAAAGATTTGATTAGCAACCTTGATCCAGAGAAGCAAGAAGAACTTTCTGGTATGATTCCCAGAAGCGTTGATCAAATTTTCGAATCTGCAGAAAAGCTAAAAGAAAAGGGTTGGTCATTTACTGTTGTGGCAAGTTTTTAGAAATTTATAATGAGACCATAAGAGATCTTCTTGACTCAACAAATAAGGACAATTTAAAATATGAGATTAAGCATGGAAAAGATGGATCAACAACCGTAACTGGTTTGAAATATGTAACAGTTAATAGACCTCAACAGGTGCAAGAACTACTCAGAATTGCTTCTAAGAACAGGGCAGTGGCAGCAACATTGTCAAATGATCGATCCAGCAGATCACACTCTGTTTTCACTCTTCAGATCACTGGAAGAAATGACAACACAGACCAAACAACTCAAGGTGTTTTGAATTTAGTAGATCTGGCTGGAAGCGAGAGAATTAGCAACAGTCATCCAACTAATAGTGACCGAATGAAGGAAACACAAAACATTAACTTGAGTTTGACATGTTTGAGCAGTGTTGTAACTGCTCTTGCCAACAAGGCTAGCTATGTCCCCTATAGAGACTCCAAACTCACATTTCTTCTTCAGAACTGTCTTGGAGGCGATGCTAAAACACTCATGTTTGTCACTATAGACCCAGAAAATGTAAATGAAACGATCCAATCACTTCGCTTTGCAGCAAAAGTGAACTCTTGCGAAATACATGCCACAAGAAAGATCAAGTAGAAAGGAATTGAATAAAAATATTGAATTTTAAAAAATATTAAAAAATACAAAACACCCTTCATTTTACTTGTCCAGGTCCTTGTTCGCTCACTTCCGCACTACATCATCCAAGCCTTGTTCGTCTTTATCACCCTTTTACTATCATCATACGTAGGTATATATTTACGTAAATTTCTAACAGTCCATTCGACGTTAACTTCAACGTTGTTATGTATGAAATGACGATGCTTCATCTAAATTATCCACTTGGACACTTTTTTTTCTTATCGGGGGTTTCTCTTGTGTGGTTTCTCTTTTGACAACAACAAGATTATTAGACTTTACAATGGCCACCGAATTGACTCCACAACAAATTAGTGTTAGCTTTGTTGCACAATACTACTACATTTTGTCATCTAACACCAAAAATCTTTACAAATTTTACAAGAATGAATCCGAAATGACTCACGAACACTCTAATGTTGTGAAACAATTACCTGGTAATATTAATCCAAACACTGTTGTTGGTCAAGATATTGAAAAAAGATTTCTACTCTCGGTTATGAAGATTGTAAAGTTCGATTGACTTTTGTTGATTCACAACGTTCATTGAATGGATCTGTCTTTGTTTTTGTAGAAGGAGTGATGATTAGACAGAGTGATGACCAAAAAGAAATGAATTTTGTTCAAACATTCCTTTTGGCAGAACAAGAGAATGGATACTACGTGAGAAATGATTACCTCCGTTTTACCTCTTGTGCATCTTCTGTAACCCCTAATGCTGTTCCTCACCAAGTCACAACAACAATCTCTCAACCTCAACCTCCACATCAACAACATCATGCTACTAATACTGCATCTTCTGATACCCAAGTTAAGTCTCAAAATGGAAGTACAAATGCAACACCTCCTCAATTATCTTTCTCAACTAATTCTTCCGTAGCAAATACTGCTGCTAATGGTTCACATTCTCCAAGAAGCGAGACAAGCTCTACGGCTGCCACTGCGGGAGCAAGTTCTGTTTACGGAGGTGCTGAGGATAACCAATTAGATGAAGAAAGCGATCATGAAGAACCTAAGCAATCAGAAAAGAAACCAGTTGTGAATGTACCACCCCAATCAAGTAGCAATATTGCTAATCCACCTGTTGCATCTTCATCAACACGTGCTGAAAAATCAAGTGAAACCAACAAGACCATTTCTTATGCTGCTGCTGTCAAGAATGAACAAAATTCTGCTACTTTGGCATCCTCAACTACCACTGTTGCTCAAGAAGCATCTCAACAGCCAAAACGTGGTAAAAAACATCATAAGAACGAAAATAAGGAAAAGACCGAACTCAAAGAAGATAACAAGAATGATCAAAAGACTGAAAACAAGATCGAGCATAAGAAATTAGAACACCACAAGATGGAACCTAAGAATCGCAAGAATGAACATCATAAGAGTGACAACGATCATAAGAAACCATCAAGCGCTCCTGCTAGTACAGATGATGAAAGGAATGCACTGATTGGTGAGAAGAAGACATTCCGTGGAAAAGATCATCCTCTCAACAAGTATGCTGTGTATGTCCGTGATTTACCAGTGGGAACTAAGGATAGTGATTTGAAACAAATCTTTGCATCCTATGGAAATGTAATTGATATTAACAACAAGTCAGGAAAAGATCAATCTTATAACAAATATGCCTTGATTTTCTTTGAGACAAAACAAAGCGTTGACGCTCTTTTGGAAAAGCCAACTGTGAACATTGAGGGTCATGAATGTCCAATCACTAGATACCAGAGAAAACCAAAACCCCATTTTACACCACGAGGTTACAACAACAATAATGCTCCCAATCCAACTCGTCAAGGTAATGAAAGACGTCCTCAAAGACAAAGGTTTGCTCGTGCTCCTGCCCAAACTGATACTTCCGTAAGTGAGAAGTAATCTAAGATGCCTCTTCTTTTCTGACTCCACAAAACTATATTTCCACTCGAACAAAAATAAAATTGCATGAATAATAATGGGGAACGTTCTCCAAAATTCACCCCCCAACAGCAACGGGTTCGGAACACAGCAAAACAAACGTTCATCTTCACAACTCAAATTGGACGATTTGAATACTGGTAATGAAAAATACTTTGGGTTGGAGAATGTGAGTAAAGAAATAATTATTTCAATACTTCTGTTTTAACCGTTTTTAATATTTGTTATTGATGATCATCAACACAGTTCGGAAACACGTGCTATGCCAACAGTGTTCTGCAAGCGTTATATTTCTGCAAACCATTCCGATATCGAATTTTGGAATATTATGAAAACAACAAACTACAACAACAACCAGATTTAAAGAATTCTAATTTATTGCATTCACTCTCTGATTTGTTTTACCAATTGTTTAATCAAAAGAAAAATAGTGGACATCTCGCTCCCAAGAACTTTATTCAGAGGCTACGTGCTGACAATGAACTGTTTAGAAGTTTGATGCAGCAAGATGCACAAGAGTTTTTGAATTTTGTTCTGAATCATGTAGTTGAGATTTTACAAAGAGAAGACTCTAATAGAGTTGAGAATGAGGAACAAAATATTCCATCTACCTCTTCTCGTGGCTCGGAAATGGATACAAGTAGTGACATTCAAGAAATACATTCAGAAAATTCACAGGAATCAAAGAAGGTGAAAACATTTATTCATGAAATATTTGAAGGAAAATTAATTAATGAAACAAGATGTATCATGTGTGAAAATGTGACAAGTAGAGAAGAAAGTTTCTTTGACATTAGTATAGATGTACAACAATTTTCGTCTATTACTCAATGTCTTAAAAACTTTAGTAGCATGCAAATTCTAAAATCAAACAACAAATTTTACTGTGATCATTGTTGCTCGCATCAGGAAGCCCAAACAAGAATGACTATCAAACAACAACCACAAGTTCTTGCTATACAGCTTAAAAGGTTCAAATATATGAACAACACTTTCAAGAAGCTTTCTTATCGTGTGACCTTTCCTTTCGATATTAAGCTCCCAAATTTATCCGAGGATGAAACAGAAAAAACATACAGATTATTTGCAGCAGTTGTTCATATTGGTTCTGGTCCAAATTGTGGCCACTACAAGTGTATTGTGAGGTCTGAAGATCAATGGATTCTGTTTGATGATGATCGAGTGACCATGGTTGATGAAGATTATATTAGGTCTACTTATGGATTTCCTTATGATGAGACGTCTTCATTTAGTGGAATTACCGAGACATGTTATATATTGTTTTACAGCTCGGGCGTGTAATACATGCAATTTTCTGTGAATATACAGGTCAAACAGAACAACTCTTCTTTGTTTTTCGAATGCTGTTTATCGGCTAAAAACAAGATTGGGTGGTGAATCAGTTAACCCTCTACTGGGATTGGATTGGACTGGCTGATCAAAAGTTCAAAAATCGCTGGAGCAATTCGATCCGATGGTTAATTGGACTGCCTCAGTCACTAGAAATCGAGTTTACAAAAAAAAATGCGCAACTCTTTAATATCATCATCATCACACATATTCCGAAAAGCAGTTAAGACTTTGGGTGCTTTTTCATCATCACCAGTGATCAATACTGGTCTAAAATTAACAACCAATTTCAATAGAACAAATAATCCTTTAATTTCATCCTCTTCTGCATCATGGAGTTTATGGGAAACACCAAAGAAAAACTTTTCGAGTGCTCGTTCTTTGCAACGAGAAGAGGCTACTCTTGAGAATGAAGAAGAGCCTATTGAAAGAGAAGTTATGGAATATGATGTAGTGATTGTGGGAGCTGGTCCATCGGGATTGTCCTGTGCTATTAGATTGAAACAATTGGCTCAAGAGTCAGGACAAGATATAAGTGTGTGTGTGTTAGAGAAGGGTCAAGAAGTTGGATCTCATCTACTCTCTGGGGCCTGTATGGAACCACGTTCTATTGAGGAGTTATTCCCAAACTACAAGGATCTTGATGTACCGTTCTATACTCCTGCTACAACAGATCGAATGATGTTCCTTACCGAAAAAAAGAGCCTTTAGACTACCACAAATTGAAGAGATGAACAACCACGGAAATTATATCGTAAGCTTAGGTCAAATTGCCAAATGGTTGGCTACACAAGCAGAATCACTTGGTGTTGACATTTTACCTGGGTTTGCTGCTGACCAAGTTGTTTATGCAGATGAAAATAATGATCGAGTTATCGGTATAATCACAAAAGATGTTGGTATTGGAAAGGATGGCAAAAAAAAGGATAATTTTGAGCCTGGAATCATGTTGAAAGCAAGACAAACCATTTTCTCTGAGGGATGTAGAGGTTCTCTCACAAAAACTCTCTATGAGAATGTCAAGTTCAAGCTCAGAGAAAATTGTTCCCCACAAACATTTGCACTTGGTGTTAAAGAACTTTGGGAATTTCCTGATAATCATCCTGAATTTGACAAGGGTTTAATTATGCATGCTGTTGGTTATCCATTGGACTGGAAAACTTATGGTGGTTCTTTCATGTATCACTTTAATGCGAATGGAGTGAATAGAATGGCCCTCGGTCTAGTAACAGCTCTGGATTATGAAAACCCAACACTCAGCCCATATGGGGAACTTCAAAAGTTAAAACACCATCCATTATTTAAAAAGATGCTTGAAGGAGGTAAATGTATTGCATATGGTGCAAGAACACTCATAGAAGGAGGTATTCAAGCTCTTCCTAAACTTTCATTTCCAGGCGGTATTTTGATTGGTGACAGTGCTGGTTTTTGAACGTTCCAAAAATTAAGGGAATTCACACAGCCATGAAATCTGGAATATTGGGTGCTGAGAGCGTTTTTGAAGCCCTTGTTAAAGATGAAGCTGAAGCGTCCACATTCCAAGAACGATTTAAGAGCAGTTGGCTCTATACAGAGCTTTACAAAGAGAGAAATATTAGAGCATATTTCAAGTATGGTTTATATCCTGGCCTATTACTCTCTGGTATTGATTCAATCATATTCCGTGGAAAGACACCTTGGACCGTTAAAATGAATACTGCAGACCATGAGCACACTAAACCAATTTCTGAGGTTACAAAAATTGATTATCCAAAGCCAGATGGAAAGATTAGTTTTGACTTGTTGACAAATCTTGCTCGTTCTGGAACTAATCATAATCATGATCAACCATCTCATTTGAAATTGAAGGACGAAACAATTCCTGTCAATGTTAATCTTAAAGTTTATGGTGGTCCTGAGCAATACTTTTGCCCTGCTCGTGTCTATGAATTTATTCCAGATCAAGAAGGCAATCCAAAACTTAAAATCAATGCTCAAAATTGTCTTCATTGCAAGGCATGTGATATTAAGGATCCTAAACAAAACATTAACTGGACTGTACCAGAAGGTGGAGGTGGACCATCATACTTGATCATGTAAATGTTGTTTGGTAGTTTGAAATTTTTGATGTTCATGCAACTCATTATTTGTTAAAGTCGGACATTCTGTTGGCAGTCATCCGAAATGTTTTTTTGAATGCTGTAGTCGAATATAGGCCTTGTAAACATTGGCTCCTCTCTCCTCAAGCAACCGTTGAGGGATTTCTTGTTCTTTAATCGGCTCTGTCTGTTTCGCAAGGGTTTGTTGTTGATACTCTTGGAAGATCAATTGGATGCGTTCCCTCATGTTCAAACAAGATGAAGCCTCAACTTATACTTTCGTGTAAGAGAGATGAGTTTGTTCCAATATTCGCTTACCTTTCAGACCTAACTCAAGACAGCACTCATACTTATGATAAAAGGTTTCATACAAAAGTGTAAGCTCATCCAGAGATAAATCTCTTAATGATTTGTTTGCGGAGCTCGTTTTAATATCAAGTACCACCTCAAGGATCTTTTGGTAGCCATAAATAGCGTTGAAATGGTGATTGTACTCTTTGCACTTGGTGCAGTACATTTGTAGGACATGAAGAAGCTCTTCTTGTTTGATTTCCTCTTGTTCGAACTCCTTTTCTTTTCGTTCTACCAACTCCCGCATCAAAGCTAATGCTCGGTTGTGCTCTCCGTTCGTGAAGAAAAATTCAACTTTCATTATTTGAAGTTTCTTCTCATCGTTTTCTCCGTTCAGGAACACACGAAACATTCTCTCCACGTGGAGTTCTTCAGTCAAAAATTCAGATTGGAGCATTTGAATCGTCTTTGAGAATGATGTTGTCGGTATTTTATGTTCTAAGGCTCTTTTGCAAGGGCTCTGCGCAAGACAAAGCCATAAACACAGCAGAAATTCAAAGTCTTCGCAAATAGTTCTATTTTTGGGCTGAAACAAAGAAGAAAAAATGAGCATTCTCGAGTATAATGGTGGTGGTGTAGTGGCAATGACAGGCAAGAATTGTGTGGCCATTGCTGCCGACACAAGATATGGTATTAGGCAACAAACTGTAGGCACAGATATGCAAAAAGCTTTCAAAATCCATGATAAATGTTTCATAGGAATGACCGGATTAGCAACTGATATTCAAACTTTTCATGAAAAATTGAAATTTAGAATGAATCTGTATAATCTTAAAGAGGAGAGACTCATCAAGCCAAGTAGCTTGTCTAATCTTGTATCAAACATGCTTTATGAAAAGAGGTAGGTACTGATCTGTGATTCAGGCCTTGAGACGAGGAATCGATAATAATCAATGATGATTCTGAATATTATTTGAACATGATGATTTATGGAATTGTTAGATTCGGACCATGGTTCATTGAACCAGTCATTGCTGGTCTTGAAGGAGACGAAAATAAGCCATTTATCTGTGCACAGGATTTGATTGGTGCTCCATGTTACACAGACAATTTTGTGGTCTCTGGTACTTGCAGCGAAGCACTTTACGGAATGTGTGAATCATTGTACAGACCAAACATGGAGCCAGATGATCTTTTGAAGTAGTTTCTCAATGTCTTTTGGCAGCTGTTGACAGAGATTGTATTTCTGGTTGGGGTGCTGTTGTTCATGTTATTACGCCTGACAAGATTATCACCAAGAGGTTAAAAGTGAGACAAGACTAAACTTTCTTTGTAACTCTACAATTGTATAAAAGCATTCCCAACACCATTGCCAATTGCTTTGCACACTCTCATTACCCACGCATATGATAACAACACAAAAATGCTCAAACATCTCTGGCTGCCATTCCTTCTTCTTGTGACATCTCTGGTTGCCGTGTTGGCGATTGGAGTAGTGGTGGCTGATGAAACAACACACAGAGTATGTACAACAACAACAACAATTAAATCATAGAATATGGTGGTCATGACGGCTCGCCTATCTTCATCTTCCGAATTGTTTTTGCTGACTTATAGTATGAGGTTGGAGAATCGGTTACTTTATGGGCAAATCATGTTGGCCCACACTATAACCCATTAGAAACATATCCCTATTATGAATCACATGTTCCTGTTTGTAAACCGAATGATCCAACCAAGGGAGAATTTAAATTGGAATATAAATCACTCTCTCTCGGAGAAGCCCTGCAAGGACAAGATCTCGTAAAAGTCTACGGAATTGAAACGATTTTCAGAAGTAAGTTTTACTCCTCGAGAATTTTCCGTTATGAAAATGTTATCCCTTCCATCATCACCACCACTACAATTTTATTCTATTTGAATGATGATTATTACTTGTTTTGGACACGAAAAGAGAATACCCCAATTACACGTCTTTGCAAAATGACTTTAACTCAAAAGGAAAGAGAACAATATATTTATGCTATTGACAATCAATATTGGTATCAATATTATCTAGATGGTATGTATCTTGTATTTTTGATGAGGAGGGAGCACCAGCAGCAACTTCATCAATGATTAGATCTTCCAATGTGGGCCATGATTGGAGGCTATGCACTTACAAAGAAAGGAGACAAGATTGAAAAAGTTCCTTTTGTTTACACTCATCAATTATTTCAAATTGAGTGGAATGAAGATAGAATTATTAGCGTAAATTTAACAACATCAAGAAGAAAACCAATACTGGAAAACACAAACGAAATTAGTTTTACCTACGAAGTAGTTTGGAATCAAAACACTAAGCTTCCTTTTGAGCAACGATTTGAATTATATCTCGAACAAAATTTCTTCCAACACAAGATTCACTGGTTTTCCATTATTAACAGCTTTATGATGGTTTTGTTTTTGAGTGCTGTTGTTTTCATGATTTTAATTAGAACACTTCATAAGGACCTAGCTGCCCTTGAAAAACATGCAAAATCAAAACTTGGAGGAGATATCGAAGTCGGAAACGAAAGTGACAGTGAATTTGATATTATTGGAAGTGGAGACTCATCTGACAGTGGTCCATGGAAAATGTTACATGGAGACGTTTTTCGCAAGCCAACAAATCTCACATTATTGTGTGCAGTGTTGGGAACAGGTTTTCACTTGCTCTTTTTGGCCCTATTTTTGATTGCACTCTCTATTGTCAACACTTGGCATGATACACGTGGCGCTTTATTGAGAGCGTTTGTCATCATGTACTGTGTGACTAGTTTCATTGGTGGATACTTCAGTGGTCATTTCTATTTGAAGTGGAAAGGAACAGGAGATAGATGGATTAGAACTGCTCTTTGGACAGCTTGCATTTTTCCATTTACAGTATTTTTGTTTCCCTTTTGTTGAACTTTTTAGCTGTTTCTTACAACGCTCTAATTGCGATGCCATTCACTACCATGCTAACAGTATTTGTCATGTGGCTTTTATTACACTGCCATTAACTTTTGTTGGTACTATTGTTGGTAGAAATTTCCCATCTAAGATTGGACCAAAAGCTCATAGTTTTCCTTGTCAAGTCAACCAATTCCCACGACCAATTCCTCCAAAACCATGGTACTTGAGCCCTTTAAGCATGTTTTTGTTTGGAGGAATTTTACCATTTGGCAGTATTTTTATTGAGCTCTATTTTGTCTTCACTTCATTCTGGAATTATAAGTTTTATTATGTGTATGGATTTTTACTTTTGGTGTTCCTCATCCTGATTGTTGTCATTGCTTGCGTTTCTATTGTGACTACATTCTTCTTATTGAACTCTGAAGATTGGAAATGGGTGTGGCATTGTGTCATTGTTGGAACAAGTACTGGCTTTTATGTGTTCCTCTACTCCATTTACTTCCTGAATACCAAAACAAGAATGCGAGGTCTGTTCCAACTCGTATTCTACTATGGAATCACATTCATGTTCTGTGCTGGTCTTTCGTTCATGTGTGCAGCCATTGCGTTCGCTGCCACCTACAACTTTGTTAAGCGAATCTACAAGGATATCAAGGTGGATTAATATCTCCTCAAGACCCAAATTCAAAAAGTTTTCACAGTTTAATAAATTAATATTTAATGTATAAGAGTAATGTGACAATTGATGTGGAGAGTGATAAAACTTCAAAATCGATGACCACCACACGTCAAAATTGTGCTCATGTTGCGTGAGTGCACTCAAATAGACAAATTTCACTTATTGCTTGTTGTTTCTTCTTCTTCTGATATAACCCATACCAATCAAAACACCGAAGAGAATCAACAAAACCAACACAATGATTGCAATAACATCACCGGCACCGACCATCTAAAAAGCCATCAACAACAAATTAAAAGAATTTCACGCATTCATCAACAGTGATGATGATTGATTTGGAAATTTTCAAATCATTACATGGTAACAAATCAACATAGTAACATGTGTGGTTCGACCATAAATCATCATGAATCGACAGTGAATTTCAACAACAGTTTCGTCCGATGATGATCCAGCCTTGCAACCTACCTTTGCTTTTGCGAGAAGATATTTTTTGAGAGTGTTTTTAATTATTGGCGACTCCAAATTAACTTGAAAAAATCTTTGAAATGGAACCTCTCACCCACCTCCGGATCCGATTTGCCTTTATTCGAATGTCGTTCTACACATTGTTGTGAATGTGATCAGAGAAATAAGGATCTTTGATAACCTCTCCAGCAGAGGGTCGTTTGGAACTACTCTTCTGCAACATATTCAGCACAAGATTGATCAATTCCTTAGAGTAAATTCCTGGCTCACTCAATTTGTTTCTCAAAAATTGAATGGCATCTTGTTCAAAATACAAGTGACTGATGGAAGTGGTAACATCTTTTGTCATAATTTGATAGATTGCAACACCCAACGAATAAACATCTGTGTTGAAACTATATTTACCACCTAGACCCAACTCGGGTGACATGAACAGTGGAGTTCCAGCATAGGAATTGTTGGTCGATCCTTGATTGGCTCTGGCAAGTCCAAAATCCGCAAGAATGACATGAATATGATCTTGATCCATTTTCTCAATAAAGATATTGCTTGGTTTCACATCTCTGTGAATCATCTTGAGATGTGTGTGAACAAAATTCAAAGCATCACACATTTGATAAATAATTTGTTTCACCATCAATTCCGAACACTCTACATTGGGAGAGGTAAGTTTTGATAAATCTCCATTCTCGTAATAATCCATATCAATACAAAGTACTTGATCTCTATCCACAAAAAGTCATTCACTTTGAGAATATTCGGATGATTAAGATTCATGAGTTGAGCTCCTTCTTTTAAGGCAGTATTCAACTCGACCAGTGAGTTGAACTTAATTACTTTGAGAGCTTTGGTTTTTCCACCCATTTTCATGTCATTACCTTTAAAAACAGATCCAAAAGCACCTCGACCCACTTGTACTAAATTGGAATATCGAGACAATGGATCCACTTCTGTGGAGACTGAGGA